GGAAATTTTCAACTCTGGGGGGATCGATCTCCCAGGGTGGGGGATCGATCCCCCAGGACTTGGCAACATTACAGATTCTTTTTATTGTTTGGGCTTATTTTGTGAACTATTGGGCTTGAATAGGGTTGTTACTTAAGGCCCAGTGAGCCATTAGATTAGGGTTAGTATTTATTTTTATTTAGGTGAATATTATTAGAATAATTAATTATTATTTTTTTTCGGTACCGAGATATCACGTTCTCTTAAGAGAACAGGCTAGGGTAAGAAGAGAGGGAAGAATGGAGGCACAAATTTGGGGAAGAATATCTACACACTCATCTCTCTTGAGTATCAAAGAAGAAGAAGAAGGAGCAAAGCATGGAGGTGGATCTTGTTGACACCTTGACTACCACAACCATGATGGGCTAGCTCTCCACTTAGGGCTTGGTTAAGCCCTAAGTCTCTTAATCTAAACCTTTGCAATTTCTATTTCTGGGGAGATTAATATATTGTTGTAGTTGATGTTGTGGTCTTCTGATTTCATACTTGGATGTTCCAAGATTTATGTTAATTAATCCTTCCATTATTTCTCTATCTTTGGTTGCATGTCTATGTGTGATCAATCTAGGGTTTACACTCATGATTAGATGTTGAAGATTAATTCTTTTATTAATTCTCTATGTTAATTTCATGTCTATGTGTTATTAATTGAGAATTATACTTGAAGACCATGACATGGTATTTAATGGATGCAATTGTTAACTAGTTTGATGGTTTATACTCTATTCTTGATGGGTTGTGTTATGATTAGACAATTCATACTTGAAATTGATATTCCACACTTATTATATGCAATTTGTATCATCTTCTTGATTGTGGATTATATGCAAATGGTCAATGGATTTGTTTGGTTATGGTTTTGTCTTAATAGGTTGTACTACACCCTAGTTTACTTGTCATTAGGTAGATAATCTACACTTGATTAATCAATCCATCATCATAATTGAAATTTTTGTTATCACATTGATGTGTGCTCTCATTAGATGCATTTGTAGATTTGTGAGATAGGTTAAGCCTCAAGATTGGTGTGTTGTCCTACACTTAGTTTACTTATTGGTTAGGTAGGCAATGCATTACAAATGAATTGGATGATCATGCTTACATATGCAAATTGTGCCATTGATTGTAGCTACATTTTAATTACAACAATGTTCTCCCTATTAATGGAAAGCAAGTGGTTAATTGCATGAGCTTAGTGGTGCTTCCAATAAACCCTAAGAATTTTCTTCTATCTCTTAAACCCCTAACTCTAACTTAGTTTATTTTCATTGCAATTTAATTTAATTGTTCACTAGTTTAATCAACCAACCATCTATTTTATTCTCTCTTTATCTCTTTTATGGTAATCACTTGTTAAAACCAACTGTCTTATTTGAATCCAAGCCAAAGGTCTTTTAGGTTCGATCCCTTCTCATTTCATAGTACATAGTATAAGTGTCTAGCGGTTTATAAATGTAAACTATGATGCCTGTTTGATACCATTTCTAAAACCAAACTGTTGTGCATTATTTTGTGCACACGCTCGGGTCGCATCAACAGGCTGCTTCTCCGCACGCGTAAGTGTCAACCCATTCAATTGAGCAATCAAAGAAAACTCCATCAACCCAAAAAAAACAAGATAAAAAATAGTACAACACAAGAAGACCCACAACTTTCTCTGTCGGTGGAAAGGGGAAAACATGAAACCCAGATAAAAACACAGAAACCCCAGAGAATATAACCCAAAAGAAGAACATACAAAAATAGTAGAAGCCAGTCAACACGTCGACTCTAAGTAAAATAGGCCAACCACAAGTAAGTATAAGGAACACAGGAAGCACAACTGCAAAAAAACATGCTCTAAAGCAACCCACAATTTTTAAAAGAACCTGCATAACCTAACATAACCCATGTGAACTATCCCCACATGGGATTGATCGGACTGGGCCCACCAGATGCCATCCCAACCACGCAAGACACACCTAAGCCTGAGCCACACCAACCATGAACAGCACCACGATCGGAGCTAACGAAGAATTCCGACCAACAGCCAACAAAGAACAGAGGCCAAAACAAACACCATATGTCGCCGCCGATAAACCAACCAAACAATAACAGACAATAGAAACATCACAGGGATAACAGACCACCAGGACCACAAAAAGAAAACCTCATGACCAAAGCGAAAACGGAACCGTGAATAGCCCTTAACAAACATCATGCCCAAACCACAACAAAAACAAAAATATCAGAATAAGAAGGAGAAAAAACAGGACTCTGATATCACAGATAATTCAGCCAAATTTATCTCATGAGAAAGAGACCTTATTATGAGCATAAATTTATATCTAAGGCAACTCACAATTTCTCTCTCTATATCTATAGATCAGTTATAAACTTATTGGAGATTGAATTTATATATAAACGATATATCTAGAGAGAAAGAGAGGAAGAGGAGGTATAGCTCGTAGTACCAGCTTGATATTTCCATGTCCTTGTTCTCTTAACTTCGCCCACGTGTTTGACATGCACAGCTTTGGCACGCGCAAGTGTTTAGTATTAGGACTAAGCATGGATACTGTATTAAAATAGTCTTTCTGCATACCACCGTCTTCTGTAACTTTGTGACAACTAGTCGGTACACATGTTTGGCATACACAGCTTTTGTCGCCCACGTGTTTGACATGCACAGCTTTGGCACGCGCAAGTGTTTAGTATTGGGACTAAGCGTATATGACGAATACTGCATTGAAATAGTCTTGTTGCATACCACCGTCTTTTGTAACTTTGTGACAACTATTCGGTACATGTGTTTGACATGCACGGCTTTTGGCGCACACGTGTTTGACATGCACAGCTTTTGGTGTCCATATGTTGACATGCACAGCTTTGGCACGTGCAATCGTTTAGTATTAGGATTAAACGTATATGACGAATACTGCATTAAAATAGTCTTTTATATATTTATTTATTATTTTTGTCTTTTCTATTGTCTAATATCTTATCTATGTATACTCAGATTTAAAATTGATAAAAAGGAAGGAAGATTGTGAAAGTAAATTAATTTTAGGATTTTGTAGTTGAGCAGCAAATAAATCATGATATATTTGGATAATTTCATGCTGAGTTGCTTTGTGTACCATTGGATATATATCGCATTGTTTGTTGGTTACTCACCCCTAGCTATCCAGTTTTTGTTGCATTATTATTCTTAACTTTTATATCTTGAAATAGAAATTTGTGTTTCTATATTGATTAATGAGACGAAACATACTTGCCCAATCCCAGATTCTTTGCTTTGTCATACTTAAAAATGAATTTCTAAAATAATAAGTATACATTACAATATATATTAGTTACGAGAAACTCTCTCTGTGACACCACCAACTCAAAAGATAAAGATAAAAATGAGAAGGAAGCATGTAAATTTCTTAAACTGTCAGCTAATCTCCTTATCATGTATATATTCTATTGTTTGACATTCTTTATAATTTTTTGTGCAGTACTCAAAGAAATCTCGAATGAAAGGCTTTATTCACAAATGTTGAGTAAAGTCTCCGTTGACGGTGCGGTTGGGACGGAACATCCTTGTAATGAAAATAAAATTTATATTGATGCTTAATAGTCAGCTACTAGCACCCTCACACTTCTATGAACATATCCTTTCTGCTAGGGTAATTTTTGAAGACGAGAATATGATTGATGAAATGTTCTCTCTTGCTTGGGTTAAGAATGAAATGTTCTCTCTTGCTTGGGTTAAGAAGTCAATTCATTCAATCCGGTGATAGCTAGTAATCATCTGTGAGCGTAAAATATTTTTCAATTACTTCAAACTAACACATTTATATATATATTTTTTCTTTTTTTTCATCTCCATTACATATGGGATAACCTATCACTATTGTAGCGCCACCACCGGCAATTTTTTTATTTATAATGCATTTCTAATTGATATTAATTTTTTTTTTAACTGTACTTCATATTAGTATAAAAAATACCAAACTATCCTACTGTTCTAATTTTCTTAAATGTGGCCCCATATATATTTGGTGCAATGATTATCAAAGGAATGAATTTTTTTTTTTAAATTGTTCTTTATTTTTTTAGACGTGTAAATATTCTTGAGCCACCTCCCATGTTGAAGAAAGTTTCAACTTATAGGGCAATAATCAAGTATTATCATTTCATAATTATGAATTTGTTTAAGTTGGGAGAAGCAATTTTATCTAGTATACTCTAAGTTACATAAAGCAAAAAGTAAGAGTGCGAAAATGATAAAATTAAGTTACAAATAGTGAAAACGAGAAAGAGTAAATGCGAAACATGAGAGTGGGAGCATGCTCAAAGTGTAAGAGCGACATCGGTTGAAAAGAATTGTGATTTAAGTGTACCATCTTGGTTGTTAGCCTTTTTTTCTCCTCATTATTTGTACTAAATTTAATACCAGTAGTTTTGCTAATGGGAAATTATTCCAAGAGAAAAAAAAATTAAGAAATTTGGGAATATTTAACCATTTTGACAATAAAATTTTAATTAAAGATTTTAATAAATTGATGACTTGAATTTAAAATTTGAGGAAATTCAGTTTCCAATTTAAATTAAATTTATTTCGATTCCAAATCTAAGATATTGATTTGGTACTCCCAAACATAATAAGAATTTGTTTTTGAAATGAGATTGATAAATTAGCAATAGTTCAAGGAATTTCATTAAAAATAATAATAATGCATTTGGAAGCATCAAATTGATGTCTTGAATTTAAAATTTGAGAAAATTCAGTTTCCAATTTAAATTAAGTTTATTTTCATTCCAAATCTAAGATATTGATTCGGTACTCCCAAATATAATAAGAATTTGTTTTGAAATGAGATTGATAAATTAGCAATAGTTCAAAGAATTTCATTAAAAATAATAATAATAAAACATAGAATATTTACGATTTTGATCGCCATGGGCCTGATCGGTACTTGTTTTGTTTTTGGTATTTTTATTTTTGCTGGTATTGTAGAGTGAACAGTGAAAAAAACCATAATTGGTTCGATAATGAAACGGCAGCGTTTCTAACGCAAAAATCACAACATTTGCCGAGACAATAGAGAGCACTTTTTTTTTTTTTCTTTCTCTAACGCAAAAATGACAACATTTCCTGAACTACTGTAACAAAAGCTGTGTGTTAGCATCTCCACTTCTATGTTGGTTGTCTCCGTGGTTTTGGCAACAGAAACACAAAGTCGCTCTGAAATCAACCCATTTTCCGCATCAATGTAAGAGACACACCCTTGTAACTTTTTTTTTCTGCTTACCTGAACAATCAATTATCTTCAATTTAGTAGATGTTCAAGCTTAATCATCTTGCGCGCACACACACTGAGGAAGTGTTGTAACTCTTTATTTTCTTTACACTCTCTTGAATTTAATGGAACCATGTTAGCGGGTCATCGTTGATACTGAAATTGGAGGGTGGATACAGAATGCCTGTCACGTGTTTGATCAAATGCCACTGTGATGCGTTCCTTTCTTGTTCTGTTTTAATGCCATTTTTCACAAGGTTGTTGACATGTTGTTTTGAATGATGCTAGTGTTGTATATTATGATTTTTTATCTGGTTAATCTTTGACTCTTTGATTCATTTGATTTCGTTTCAATATATATTACACACACACACATTTTGTCTCTGCAAATAACTCACACACCCACTTTTTGCCCACTGTGGAGACTTGAAAGCTCAATCTTCCACTTTGGGAGGCAGAGGAATATAATAGTTTTAAAATGAGTTCACTTAGTGTTCCTTTGTGAAATTTGAAATAATATTCTTTAAAGGGATGGTGTGTGAGAGTAGGATTTGGTTCAAGGCTTACGGTTGGTATAAATGCCTAAGATTGATAACATTATTGCAAAGCTAGGTACATTATCAATTTCATGTTTTTATGAAATCATAATGTTCTTCATGTGTTTACCTCGAATGACTTCATTTCTGTACTGTAATGAAATTTTTCTTTGAGATGCTATATAGAACTCAAAGGAGCAAGATTGTTGCATGAGCTTATGAATAACTTCAAACATTTTTTTATATTTTATTTTTTGTTATGTAATTCAGCACAACTAATAGGTTGGAGTTAATAACTTATATATCTTGTATAGGTACATGCAAATTAGTTGAAGTAATAAGACTTATAATATTGGGGTAGGATTAAGGAGTTACCGGGTGTGAAAATCACATTGTTCGGTCGTTGGGGAGAAGGAGTGTGTGGGTTGCATTTTTTGAAGTGGTGTGATATTGTTACCTATTCCATTTTCCTACCAGAAATTAGAAGAATAAGGAGTTCTTATATCTATCGGTTAGACTGAAAAAATTCACAAGTTTCCTCTGAAATAGACATAAGAATATCGAGCTTAGCTCGTAATGATATATCTTCGGGGGTTATGGCGATTGGCCCATTACTTTTTCTTTTTCTTTTTCCTATACAAGGAATCCTTCTATATGACTAATTTGTTGGAATAATTTAACTTTTGTATTTGACATACGTTTCATGACATCTTTATAAGCATAAAGACCCATTTGTTTTGAAATATGTAGGGATCTTCTGCCTTTCCTTGTTGGAAATCCTCAATTATGATCTCCTTATATGCCGTATATGGATCATTTTGCTATCAGTTCTTCAATAAAACCTACCTCTTTGTGTCCTTGAACTATAATCAGATGGTTTCGTGCTTTCCTTCTACTCCTAAGAAGTTGGTGATGACCATTGGATTGTTCCTTGGTGGCGCCTCCCTTTTTGCTATTGGTGTGCATCTTTCATATGTCAATGTTGCCCCTCAACAAGCTCGAACAAAAGCTCGAAATGATTTTGTCAAAGAACGATTAAGACAGAAATATGGCAAGTGAAAGAAGGGTACTCAACTCATTGATTTAGGTATGCTCGCTATCTGTTAAAATTTCTAAAATATCGCAAGTTGCATCAAATTGTTTATAAAGTTTGTGCACCTACACTGTTAAGAGATTTAGAAATTCATTACCTGCCTTTTTCTTTTTATGATTTTATCCGATGGAACACTTTAAGGACAAGTGTCTTCTTTGCTAGATTGTGATGCATAAAGAACAGCCCATATGTTACTTTAAATTTGGGCAGGTCAACGGTTAGAATGTACTTGATTATGGGTGTCTGGGGCTCAGGGCATACTAATAGCTGTTTGACCTCGATAATTTGGGTGGGTAAGGGGGTTTGTCATATGTTGAATGACAATTACTATGTGATATCCACTCTGAATGGACAATGTTTGCCAGTTAATAGAACTAAGCATTTTAGAGAGATCTCGTTTGGGATATAAAAAAATAAATAAATTCATCGTATTTAATTTTCAATCTCGTGGGAATTAACGTATAAGTGAACGCATGGAATAAAAAATCACAAATTATTGTAATTTATCAATCTATATATTGGATATTTTCAAGATGCAATATGAATTTTATATGTAATCTTGAATTCAAAAAATATATGTTGCAAAATACCATTACATAAGGGTGGATATTTCCAACAAGAATATTCTCATACATTTCAAAATGTAACTCTCATCATATTGACATAAAGTTGGAACTTATCGCAATATATCACACATTATATAACACAAATTATTATACTTTTCATGCTTTACAATTATATCCTTCAAAATGCTTGAAGAGAGCCAAACCCTTATAAATATGAATGGTAACATGGATCGTATAATTTGGTCGGATATAGGCGAAGAAGGAATCTATCTCCAAATAGTTTTTTTATTTTTTATTTATTTTTTATTAGTCTATCTCCAAATAGTTGCGGAAAGGTCATTGACCAATAAGGCTATTGAAGTGGGGATGGAAAGACTGAGACATCTAAAGATCACATGAAATGTGTATAGCACTGTGAGCATTCACCAATGGATTTTTAGGTCCTCCTCTAGGTGCTCCTAATTGAGAAATTAAATGATACTTTTAATGTTAATTTAGTTATATTTTGTGATATTAGTGGTTGGTGTTCTTTACAACACCTTGGCAAATATACATTCTGTTTATAACATTTTGACAAATATCATGCTTTGTTATTTACAATAACACTTATACAATTTCCTTAATTCAATACTCATCCTCATAATCATCCTTGTCGTCATCCCATATGGGTCGTCCACATAAGTTTCCTTTTTCCATTTTTTTCTATTACAAGTCATCTCTCTTACACTAGTTTAACTTTTTAAAATCATTTGTGATGATTTCATCTCATGTTAACTTCAGTCGCCCTCTTTATCCTTTAATCCCAATTATTTGCCCTCTTCGTACCGAAGCGTCCACAAGTCATCTTCAGATATGTCCATATAACATAAGTGAATTTTCTCATATATTATCACTAATAGGTCTCACTCCTAAGTTTTCTCACATTTTGATTAGTAACCCTACATCTTCTAGGAACCTCTATCATCCACCTTAACATCCTCGTTTCCGATATATGAATTTATCGTTCCTGTTTCTTTTTTAAGGCTCAACTCTATTTCCATTATTTTAAAAAAAAAAAGGAAAAAAGAATGAAACATCACTAACATGATTTTGATTTGTGCTTGCAAAACATTCTCTTATATATGTATATGTGTGTATTGTTCCCTGAGAGACTGACATTTTTCCTTGTTTTAATCTTCCACCATTGCACATTTTGGAATAGATAATTGTTGATTTCACACCATTAAATCGTCTATTTCTTTAGGTTGATGATGCGGTGAAGTTGTCAAGAATGGTATTTTGGGATCTCTCCTACAGTTCTTTCTACTCTTATACTGAAGATGAGGAAGAAATGTGCAATTAATTATCGAGTACAATGTGGTGCTGTGGCTAAATGTCTTGAGCAGAACCTTTTGGTGCAGTCTTTTAGAATAAGGGCGGGCAAGTGATTCTACTCATAATAACACGTTGTATCGGTCATGGGTTTGCTTCAAGATGTGACTGGAAAATCAATGACGTTGTCAGAGTAGCATCACTTCTTTCTTCTGGTACTGCTGTGGAAATATGTTTCAACAGGTGCCATGGAAGATAACAAATATTCGTGCTTTTGAAACTGCCAGTCAGAAAGTCGGTTTTTCTCTTTGCTAAAATATATGTGTAGCTCACAGAAGTAAAACTGATTATAGCTGTGTCATTGTGGTTTTCTTAAATTTCTTGTTTTTGTATAAGATGCTTGAAATTATTATGATTAGTTTCTGTCTGTGACTAGTATTTCTTCAGTAATTAAAATGTTGGGAGGAAAAATGGAATCGGTCATGAAAAATGGAAGAAAAATCAGCTTGAAGATTGAAAAATGGAACTGGTCATATAGATTGCATCTCTTTGTACAACTTTCTTTGCAACTCTATTGAGGTGAGGAAACGAGGGCAAGGGATCCCTTTTACCAAATTGAATCTTTACATGTCAACGTCTATATAATCTCAACACGTCAATGTCTATATATATATATATATATATAGATACATATTATATTCTCTGGTCAAGAACAGTGAGACTAATAGCAGTTCAGCTATCTACCCGCTAGAAACTCTACTATAGGGGCCAACTTTAAAAGTCAGAACAACAGTTATCTGCGGTTGTCAATGGAAAGATCACGAACCAGCAATCCACGATCTGCCATTGCATTGCCTTCCCTCTTGTTTTGCTCTAAAACCCTAAGCCAATGGTATGCACCCTGTAAAAGACCCTAACTAAGCCACTGGTCAAGGACTGTGAGACTAATAGCTGTTGAGCCATCCTTGACATGTGCTAGAAATTTTACTGTAGGGGTCAACTTTAAATGTCAGAACAACAGTTATCCGCGATTGTGAACGGAAAAATCATGAACCAGCGATCCACGATCTGCCATTGCATTGCCTTCCTCCTTGTTTTGCTCTAAACCCTAAGCCAATGGTATGCAACCTTTTAAAGGACTCTTTTGCTCTTAACCCTAACTAAGCCAATGGTATACACCTGTAAAAGGAGGTTTTAATGATCTGTGCCCAAATAGAGAAAATGGATAGAGAAACCGGAGCCCAATGAGCTTAGAGCATGAAGAGCTGCGGCTCGCTCTGATTCGGTCCACTATCATGCCTTTTTAATGAAAAACTGGCTTACCAACTTAATCTAAATCCTAATGCAATCCGTACACCATTGAAGCGGTCTTAAACTAGCAACTATGGTCTGATCTTAAACTGTTTCAACAATCTTAAAATATCGTTTACAACACTAAACCAAACAAGCCTGTACGCACATCAACTAGGTATGGTAATGGAAGAAAATGTACTAGTACCAAATGCATTCACATTGGTCACAGTTGGTGAAAATTCCATAACCACCACCCCCAGGCAGCTCACCGCAACCAGAGTAGCACAAGTCACTCAGGAGAAATATATTTCTCCTCCTGACTTTCATGGTTATGGCAGGACCAGTAACATCATCAAACTCTTTGGCAAGTTGACTGTAAAATTGCACCCGATGTGCTCAATCGAAAAATATAGTTAAGAGGGCCGGGTTCAGAACGTAGTCCGTATCTGGTGACAATACCTGGTGACACCGGAATGGTGTATGGGCATTAGAGCATCGAGAGGACCTTTCCCTGATACCCTAACTAAACAGTAATCAGTTGAGACTTGAAATACATTACAGGACCTGACACGGCCTCACATAACAGTGCTTGAAGCCATCTAACATTTATACATAAAATGAAGTTCCACATTAACAACAATAAGACCAATTGATTAAAACAAAATGTTGCATTGATGTTTAACTTTAAAACATAAAAGGATATGACAAAAATAGTTCAAGCTAACTTTATCAGTCAACCAATTCTCAGTTCCACAGCTAAAGAAGAAAAATGGATAGGGGAAAATTGTAACTCTGATTTCAAAGAAGAATTTGCGGTAGCAAGATTTTAAGCAGCAGCGCCCTTTCCTTTCTTCCTCTGGAGTTTCTTCATATAGAACTCCAGCTCTTTGCCCTCCAATATGTATCTGTCAGAAGCAATTTCACAACCACACCATAAGAAGAAGCCCTCAAAAAAATTAGAAAAAGCAATCTTGCAACATCATTGGATCTCAGAAATGGTTAGAGAAAGACCATACAGCTCTGATCATAAATTGTGAACATGAGCAACTCTATTCAATCTTCCATACTAATTATGATCAAGGTTTGTCAAGGTTGTCCACTAAAGTGTTATTAAGGTATTATACTGCAACAAAATGGCTGTTTTGAAGCACTCTTTCTAAGTTAGAAGCCAGAGCTGTATTTCCATGCTTTGAGTGAGCAATTTAGTAAACCAACAAAAGGAAACATATGAAACAGGGCAATATAGTTGTGAAATATTAGAAAAGTAGAAATGCATACCCGTCACAACGACCACATTGGCCAGGTCGTGATGCAATTGCAGCTAACAAACGGCCACCCCCAAATTGTTCTTCGACATGTGGGTCAAGATTGCGATCCTGTTGGCGCTTCTCCAGTTTTCTGACAACATGGTTGCTTTTCTTTGCCTCTTCTGTAGCAGCATCGCCCTCCTATAATCCGATTAAAGAGCACATCATAAGAAGAAGAAAATGAAATAGCATTCATCAACAATACCTATATAATGGATTTGCTTCAAAACACCACCAATAATTCCAGAACACATCATAAGAAGAAAAAATGAAATAGCATTCATCAACAATACCTATCTAATGGATTTGCTACAAAACACAACTAATAATTCCAGAACACATCACTTATCAAAAAAAAAAAATCCAGAACACATCATAAGAAGAAAAAATGAAATAGCATTCATCAACAGTACCTATCCAATGGATTTGCTACAAAACACCACTAGTATTTCCAGAACACCTAAAATATTGTTCTTCTACAACTTTTGGGACTACTGACTAGTTGCATAATATCCCAAAATTAAAAGAAATATACAGTGGAATATTGTCCAATCTTTGATCATGTCTACAAATGTAAACCTTTATTATTTAACTATTTATTAATGAAGTAGTGAAATTTTGTGTGGTGCCCGTCAATATTGGATATCTAATTACATAAATAGGCAACTAAAATTAGATCATGTTCCCCCAAGAGCTTAAGAAACAAAGGATGGCATAATCAAATTAGATTACAATAATGTCAACATCAGCAGAAAATGAAAGAATCACATAAATTTACATCATGGGGAATAATGAAGGATGTGAAGGAACACCATTTCAACATGAAAATGACAAAAAGATAATTATAAAGGATAAAGATAATTGTAGATGATGTAAAAGACTGAAAAGTAAAATGGGTTCGGCTTCTCCATAATACACTGCATCTAAACACTTCCGATAACCACTCACATTTTGTCATGTCAGCAGCAGGCATCATACAACCCCTCCAGAATTAACAGGATGTAATACAGCATGTAAGCTTTAATTACAGCAATACAAAAACACTGGATTTATATCCAACTGAAATGGGGAAAAAAATCATTATCCAATTGAATTGGAGAAAAGGAAAGAAAATTAAAAATCATTACCCAATTGAACTGGAAAAAAGGGAAGAAAATTACAACTATCACTATACAAAATACCACTTTATGATTCTTCTGACACCATTATTGTAAGATATTCAACAAAGTCAAAAGCAACCACACAAAAACGCATGTCAGGTTTGAATTCAACACAATTCCACAAACCAAATAAAAAATGACTGCCAAACTATTAGCTTCCTTCAACTGCTTATATCCTAAAACATATCACATTTATATGATTCCTGTCTATCACCAACAAAATAGTAACTGCAAAATATTCACAAGCAACCTTACAAAAATGCAAACCCAACTTAATCAAACAAAACCACGTAAATACTCATACCTCTCCTTCTTTTTTGGCAGAAGCAGCGGTTTTCTTCTTGCGACCAATGTCAACTCCATAGTGCTGAAGGTACCACTGCTTAAATGGTGCTGCATCGACCTGAACTATTGCACCCTTCACCAAAGTTTGGGTCCTAACCAACTCATTATTTGAAGCGTTATAAACCACATCCAAGATACGAGTCTTCCGGGTCACAGCCTCACTGCCCCATGAGTAGTTTCCTGTGTCCAACCTCAATGCACGCCACTTCACATTCCCACCTCGAACCCTAACCCTCCTAACTGTCTTGTTGCTTGACAGCTTTGTGTTGGCAGGTTGTCTTCCAAGCTCATACCTTCAAAAAAAAGAAATAACCAGCATAATTGGAAACATGTCACTCGAACTGAATCTGAACTTAGTAGGGTATTAGAAACAAGGCAAGCAGATCAGTCAACTACATGGTTCAATTTTAATGATATTAGTCTCAAATATTACGAGAGGCTATTCATGGAGGTGAACTAAATAAATCTGAAGCCATCATGCCTGGATGTTAACTAAAGAGAAAATAACTCAACACAGCTTTGGAAATTATGACGAGCCATAGCACAAATCTTATAACTTACAAGACATAAAAACAAAATTTGAGCCACCAAAATGAATTCAACCAAATTTATGTTCAGGACATTGTGACCAACCCATTGATCAGAAGTACCAAATTAACCTAATTACGGAATATTGATAATTCATTAAACAGATACATCAACCAATCAGGGTTTTTCTTTAATGATGAATCATCCACTACATGATTGTAAACCCAATAAAAGTTTTCAAAACCATAACGGAACAATTAATTAGTAACCAATTGACCCAAAACTAGTTACTGTGGCAGATCCATAAATCAGATTTACCTAAAGAATCTCATCTTCTCTGATTTCAGAAAGTAAGCCAAATATCAAAAAGGAAAGACGAAAATAAAACTAACAAAATTTTCAGAAATCACAGGCAAACCTGTAAATAATAGAAACTAGTCGAACCAAACTAATTCAAGCAATACAATCATGACACTCCAATTAATCAGAGACACGATCAGGACAAACCCATCAACTAGACACAACAAGAATCTTCAGGAATTTTTAAATCATAATAAACAAAATGAACACAGACATTATGCAAATTTAATGAGATTGATATTTTAAAAATTATGACAAACCCATTACTTAAGAGCGACATTTCAATGATAAGAAGATTGAGGATTGAAAGAAAGTAGTTGCCTCTTACTTTCGCTTCTTCCTCCAAGCCTTCTTCTTGCCTCCAGTGGCACGTCTCTTGTGCATAGAATCACGAGAAATACCTGTAAAGTATTAGGTTAACATTAGCATCATGAAGATGGATGAAGAAGATAAGTGAAAAGAGATTGACAGAGATCGAGCGAATCGATAGATACCCATAGCTGCAGCTGTTGGAATCTAGGGTTTCTCCCAAATGCTTGCAGAGGGTTTGATAGAGAGGATACCAAAGTGTGCGAGAGTGGTGTACCTGATTTTATACAAAACCCTAATCACAGAGCCTAAAAGAAAGTCCAATGGGCTAATGGAGCCCATTTTTCACGAGCCCAAATATATTTTTCTGGAGCCCAAACCCTAATTTTGTGGGCCAGTACGGGCCCTTTTTATATTTAAAAGTCCAGTTCTTTCAAATTGGGCAACGGTCTAACGGTGTGTTTGGCCCAGACCGTTGCTCAAAACCAGGTTTTTTGCAATTTTTTAGGTTTTCTTTATTTATTTATTTTTTTTGTCTGCACTTTACTGAAAATTAAAAACTGTTAGCCTAAGCCAAACAGTGCCTAAACAGCTTTTAAGTCCAAAATAATTTGTTTAATTTCAGTTTTTTTTTTTCCTTTTCTACAAAAATGAAAATAGAGCCGTTAAGGACTGTTTGGGCTATATTGTCCCAAAAAAGTTAATTTTCAAAAAAATATAAAAAATTTGTTTTTTCCGTTTAAAAATGATTTTTTTGGGCCTTTCTTTTCACCTCTGTAATTAAATCCAACCCATACCACCATTTACATCACGTCCAACTCATCTCTATTCCCTACTCCTTAAACTACCATAATAGATATTGTACTGTTTAATTTTAAAAAAAAAAATTTACTTTACCAATTGAATTATTTGCAAATATGTCCGTTTGGTTGCAGAATATTGTCGTTGGATATTGTATAACAAACAATTTAATAATTTTTTCTCGATAAAATCAGTACATAATAAATATTCTTTTACAGAAAATTTCATAACATCTTAAAAGCATAAAAATGCAATATAAATTAAATGTTTTCTTTACCAAAATAGTTCCACAAAATTTATATAAAATCTTTCCTCAATTGCATATTCCAACATTGGCGGACGTTGCAGCTAAGATCGACAGGTTTTGAAATAAAGTGGAAATCGAGATGGTCTCTTTTGGTGGCGAAGTCCATCTTCCAACATTGGCGTGACACTCATATTCAATGATCATGTTGTGAAGGATGATGCACGTTTTTATTATGAGGCACAAGTATACCCTTTCTCACAAAAAAGTACTGGTCCTTGCGTTATGGTCCACTTCATCTGTAAGACCCAAAAGCTCGTTTCACTTCTTTCTTGCAGCCCTCTTGTTTTTGAGCAAAAAATTTTTCTTTTTCAATAGTTTGGTGCGGGATGGTCTGCATCAAAGTTTCTCACTCAGAGTATATACTATCAGACAAATAATCCCCTATTTTATGGTGATGTCCATTCACCAAAGCAATTGGCTAATGACAATACTATTGAATACCGGGGAATGATCCAACACATTAAAATCATTATGTGAACCCGACATTCCAAATCATGCATGCCAGTGTAAGCAAAAATAATAGTCTAACTATAATTAATTAGTATTAAGTTATCCATGTATGTAATATAGGTGTGTTACACCATATTAATCCTTAAATGTGCCTACTAATTTGAATGAATAGTCACATATGTATATATAAAAAGTTGTGTTGGTTGATGGAATCAACATACCTCTTCATGTAAAAAAATGGAACAGTCCCAACCCTCACTATATAAGCAAATGAAAGCTTATAGTCCATCATCCAATTTTGCAAGAATATGAGAGGGTTGTAGAACATTTCCACTGTAATCTTTTCAAACTGGGTTTCAATATCTGGTAAGTCTCTCCTATCAATTTATGTATTTAAATCCGTGAATCCTATTTGTGTTAGAAATTTCTTATAGCCAGATTCACAAATCATTTGATGAGGAAGATGACGAAGAAGATGAAGAATTCGTGTTTGACAAGGGAAAAGATCGCGATGAGGAAAGGCATTGGAACTTTGAGATTGAAGGAGATAGAAAATAATATTTTGCTACAATGAAAGAGACGAATGTACTTAGAATTGTCACATGAACAAGTGGGTGTTTATATAATATAAAAAATATATTATATTTTGAAAATATATATATATATATATATATATATTATTTTTGGAGAATGAAAGTACACCCTTGTGGCAACTTCAATAGGTAAAATTTGAAGAGTCCAAAACGCTAACAAGCTCTTGAAAATGTTGAAGTGGCTCTTTAAAAAAACTAACGTGGTAAATTTGGAGAGCCAAAATTTAAAGCGTCCCTTGGAGATGCTCTAAAATATTATGCAGTGAGACCATATCTAAGAAGCACCGACACGTGGAATAGGCTGTCATACTGGTGTTGGACACGTGTGTCCGAGACTTCGACATGTGTCTGACACCTCTGTAGAGGTGTCCTATTTTTTTATCATTTTTTTCATGCCTGACACGGCAAAGGATATGCCGGCGACACGCATAGAACACGGGGTTCAGATTTTTTGTCAAAAAAAAAAAAAATGATGAAGCGATGTATACATGTATATGGTTGTGTGTATTCATAAAAAGAAAGATTGAGGGAGAGAGATGGAGAATATGAGAAAGGTCGGTTCCAAGAGAAGAGAGAACTTGCATTTTCAGACTTTTAGCTAGTGAAAAGTTTTGAAAATAGGTTGCTTGTTTGCGATCAATTCCCATTTGGAAGTGCTCCCCCTTTGCCGTTACGGTCCCTAAAGATAACCGCTTAAAAAAAAGTAATAAAAACCCTATGGAAGAGAGAAGTGATAAGATTGCAATCTTATCTTTTAGAACGGTTACATGAATAATAATTCTACGGTTAGATACAAATATGTACCTCTTTTTTTTTGTTTATATTTTCAAGGTATTTGGGCCGATATTTTTCAAGAGAATAATGAGCCTAAAAGTTGTGTTTATTAAATATAAATTTGAAATTGAGTATATATTTTATTGCCGTGTCCGTGTCTGTTTTTTTAAAATTTATCGTATCGCTATATCTATGTCGTATCATACTCGTATCCGTACTTCATACGACCACAAGGATTGACAGGGACTAGGGAGAATTGATAATCTGATCATAAGTAATTCGATGACATGACAACTTAACATTTAAAACAACCGCAACAGAGAATAGCCCAATAGCAAAATTCTCCTCAGTGGAAGTTGGGAGTTAGAATTTTTTTTAAATTCCTTTTGAGAATTTTATTGCAAAATTATAGGGGGCTTGTGGGACAAATGACTCTTTAGTAATTGATTATGACATGCTTTAAAAGGACTGAAACTGGGTTGGCAATAAAATAGAAAAGAAAAGTATAATAATGTCATAATTTTTGGCCATAAAAAATTATTGCAATGTGTATGGCTGTGGGCAAATTAGTCCGTTTTGGACCGTTATCATATATCCAAAACTATACTAAATAATCAAAATGAGAAATTTGGGTCTGCTTTGTTCAGGATTTTTGTGAACAGTTTTATATATTTTGAGAAACTGGAAATAAAAAAACTGTAAAAAAAAAAAAAAATTGTTAGGTTAACAGTTTTTCAGATAATTGTATTTTATGTTAATTTGAAACCAGTTTTATATTTTCTTAAATTTTTAAAATTTATTTTATGAAAACTGAAGGCTCTCAACAATTCTGTCAAATGTTCAATGATTCTGTCTTTGCTCGTGTATAAGTTCGACTCAATGTGGCTTGGTCTGTAACGAGTTAAAAGAGATTAGTACAAACTTGGTTTTAACCATTTGCGAGCAAACTCACAAGTTCTCAAAAAGTTTGAAAAAACCTAAGGTCGGTTGTGTAATTTGTCTTCTTTATTTTGTTTTTCTGGGGATGCGATAATATTTTTACTAGGAGTGTGCCTTTACTGTGTCGATAGCAATGAAGTGACTTATTTTTCACTTTCTTACTCCAATAAAATTTTGTTGATGCTATTACTGTGCAAAACTTCCGCAACACAAATATATACATATATATAAATGGTAACTGATATTACTTCATAACCTATAATGAACTGCAATAGAAAGCATCCAATTCATAGTTTCCTTGTACTTCATAACCATACTGACATTCTACATAAAGATCAAACGGGCACAACTGATGCACCACAAGTTTATTGGGGTGCACGAAAATTGCCCTTGCCACGTTTTTTAATGGATTGACAGAAGAAAGTAAAGGAATCTCTAAGCTCATTCGGAAGTTCAACCGATAACGGAGGAAGTATCCCGTAATTCCTACTTTTGATTCTTGCCGATGATGGACGTGCCAGTGCCAATGCCGGCTGCTGCTTGTTAAGCCCTTCAATGATAAATGAGAAAGCCCCAAAGGTGAGGCAGCTCTGAAGAAGGGCCTGAGGCGCACCTGCATATAGAGCACAAAACAATGCTCAATTTACAGAGGAAAAAGTACCCACATATGCAAATGTAAATGTGTATTTCCATTTTGTGTTTTGGTTCAAACCCCCTCCCCTCCCCTTTCTTCCCCATTTTACATGGTATTATTACTAATTTGCATCTCAGCTAATTCAACTCCCAATATTAAATTTCCTACGGTCCACTTGAGACTTGAGATGAATCTGGAGATCCTGGATATAAACTGAACTACGACATTTTGGTCTGCTTTTGGACATGTAAATTTATCTCTCCCTCCCTCACCCAGTTCCCTCCTAAGATCCTGCCTCTCTTTAATTTTCAATAAAATTAAAAGAATATATACATGTTTACGTCGTCAACATGCCTAAACTCGTCCTAACTTAGTTCAATCTCCGGAATCCTAAAAATCAATTGGGGGGCTCTGCAGGTATGAAGCTATGGCTCCTTGATTGTTTTGTTCAAGTCGTATTCAAGATATCTAAACTGACTAACCAATCAGCATTATTAAGATAATATTTGAATCGTGAAAAAGAAAAGAAAAAAGGAAAAAAATGCAACATCAGGAATTTTGAATCAATGAAAACCATAAATTAGAAGTTGGTGAACCTAGTCATGGAATAGAAGTAATTGAAAATACATTAATAGAAGTATTAAATACCTGGGAAACTCAAAGCAAGACCAGTGCAACATCCAGCCACTCCCGCATTAATGACTGCAGGAGGAAAATGCAAGATGCATTAATAGGGAACAATCGTATTCAGTGCGAGTGTAAAGTTGAGAAGGCATACCATCATCCTTCCCCCGCAACCTCTTCATAAAGCAAACAACCAAACTGTGAACCCCGGACAGAACTGCAAATGTCTGATAATCACAAAGGTAAGATAAAGAACTTCAATATATAGCTAGATGCCAAGTAAACCTAAACCATTGGGCGTTAACCAACAGATCTCATTCATCCAATCATATTACTCTAAAATTATAAGATTCATACCTTAGCAGAAGATCCTGCATCTGCAAAAGATCCTTTAAAGCCTTTCTTCTTAATCAATCCTGAACCTAATGTTCATATCAAACACTTTTCAGTACATTCTTTATATATAGAATAAAAACAATAAATTTTAACATGTTGAGTATATTACGTGTTCAACAATTTCATGGTATGACAAACCCAATTTAACAATAAAATTCTATTGTATTTCTTTTTCTGTGGGTTCCCAAGTAAGCTTTAATGCAGGTCACTTGAAACTCATTCATAAAGGGTACAATCCTCTAATGGGTACTAATGAATTGGAATACAACAACCATTTCATTCCACTGAGGGTGCAACTTAAATTAGTGATTGCCCTACTCAAATCAATAACTTTCCCATTCTCCCAAACAGCACCGGACAAAAGGCATGAAACATCACCTACATGGCCAGAGTCTTTATACAGAACATTTTTCCCATTACTTTCAAGGTTTGACTTCAAGTCACTAATATTTAACGGCTACCCTCTCTCTGAATAAGCCAAAAGATATGCATCTCTACGTAGGTATACAGACACTTGTATCACATACATGTGAACGCTACCAAAATTTCACCCACGGATATCGAATTAAGTATAACAATATGTTGGTATAATGTCCATACCTCAGATCTGTGAGTAACACAACTACATTGTCCCAATTCAAATTACAACCGGAAAGATTTAATAGCTTAGTATAATTATAGAGGTCAATATTACTAATGAAAGTTGTGAAACCTCGACATAGCAGGCAGTAAAATAATCCTCAATTTCGTGGGTCCGTCCCTGATCATAAACAGTTTCCAAGTGAAGACTAAACATTGAAGACTAAACATGCAACTCTGATCCCCATACAACTCCAACCAACAGAATTGTTAACGCAGTTGTGACATAAATTGAACTGACAGACCTACATAATTAACCCGTACCAAACGTGATCAAAGAACTAATAGATCCAACTAAATTCTATAGAATACCAAAATTGAAACTACTTTGCAAGACCAAAAAAAAACGAATTTCAATTTCCACATACACTACCTTCTCAAAAATAAAATAAATAAATCCCCTATAAACTATAGATATCATAGAATTATTAAAACGTTCTGTTTGAAACTTTGAAACCCCAAATCAAATTGTCACGTAAAGGTTAGAACTTTAATACATCAAGAAGAAAACAATAGCAGCAAATCAAAGACATGCAAACACAGAATTCATTTCTGAAACAGATAAATACAAGAGAGGGGGGGGAGAGATAACCGTAGCCGAAAATAGAGCCCATGAAAGCGCCGGCGGCGGAGTCGCCTCCGAATCTCAGGAGGCAAACGACGGGAGAACTCGACGGATTAGTAGGGTTTAATGCGTCTGTGTTTAGATTAGGGTTAGTGTTAGGGTTTGGATTGTTATCGATTTCGATATCGGAGTCGCTGCTTGGAGAGTCCGCCATCGTCGCCATATCTATCTGTTGAACCCTAATGAGTTTTGTGTCGAACTCTGGGAAAATATGATATTTTGGCTGAAGATGCCTTTATCTGCTGTCTTTTCTGAAAAACGACGCCGCTTGCATTTTCGTCAATCCACCCTTAACTTCTACTCCGTACTATAGTATTACTTTCCCAACAAAAAAAAAAAAAAAAAAAACTAATAATAATACGGAGTAATAACTAAACCCAAATGGACATGTCTAATGGGTTGGCATTTATACCGGATACTTTTTTATCGGGTCTAATGTGGAACACCCTTGTTACTTAAATTCTTAATTCGATAATTTGAATTTGATATTAATTGTAACCGGTTGACACATATTTATTTATTAAAAAATTCAAACTATTTGGTAATAATTCCTTCGTCTTATAAAAAGTGTCACTTTTGAAAAATCTTGACTTTTATAAATTGAACAGTCACCCAAAAGCGACATTTTGTTTGAGACGGAAGTAGTATTACATATTCACCCATTTATGTTCAATCATTTTTTCATCCGAATTCGACGTAGGACAAATAATTCTTATTACGAAGTTACATAATACTATATATAAGTTAAATGTTTATAAAATAAAATACATTTACAACAAAAGCATGGGCAGAAGAAAAAAAAATTGCCAAAATATCATCATTAATTTACGGAGTTGGCATTATTTTGTTTGTTTGTTTGTTTTTTTCACTCTTCTTAAAGGCATTTCTCTTATTCGACTTAAATAAAGAAAATATTATTGCGCTACAATACTTAATTCACTCCCATTTTGTTACAATCACATATTTGTTACAGTAAATTATTTAATAAAAAGTTTTTAATTACTTATTTGTGCCTAATATAAGTAAGTAGAGGGTTCACTCATTTATTTATTGCATAAATAGATCAAACATGACCCATCTAAATACATAAATTATCAGTTTACCATAATTATAAAAATAGTATCCAAGAAATAGAAGTTAAAAAATAAGAAAATAATATTTCAACCGACGTATTTGACCGATTACTTGACAGAATCTACATGGCCTGTCCAACTAAACCACTTCCATCTCTTCTATCTCATTTATTTATTTTTTTTTATTATATTTCTCGCTCTAATATCTCATTCACCGGAAAGAAGTGAGTCTGTTTTGAAATTGGTTCGTCGGCGCCCAAGACTACTTCCCCCCACCCCCACCCTTTTTTTTTTTTTGTTTTTTTTTTTTTCTCACTCACTCATCCGGGAAAGAAGCAAGAAGTGGGTCTGTTCTGAAGGTACTTTGTCAGCGCCGATTGGGTATTGTATTTCGATTTAGCAGCCATCTGACCTAAATCTATGAAATCTTCAGTTGGTGTTGTGTTTTCCGGCCGTTGGAGAGTTTACATTCGGTTGGATCTGTTATGAAGCTCACCGGAAATTTGTATACGAAAGTCGCCGATTGGGTATTGTATTTCGATTCAGCAGCCCTTGACCTAAATATATGAAATCTCTAGTTGGTGTTCCACGACCCCTCTAACCACCTATTATACCTTTATTCTACTGTATGATTATGAAATTAGACTAACAAGTTCCCATTATCACCGGACGAAAGATAAGGAAATCTAATAAAGTGCAACTTCAACTCATATAGCAAATTTTTTTATTTTTTTTAAATGTGCATTTCATTAATTGTTTGAGCATGTGATTTAACAAGTTCCCATTTGTTTTTTGTTTGATATGTGGTCTAAAATGAATTTCATCTTTTTTACAAGATGTCGGCATCATAGCTTGGATGACGATCAATTGAGTTTGGCCATTGGGTCAGTTGTTGCATGAGACAGAACTCTTCCTTGTTATCAAATGGATGATAAAATGTATGTACATAGTAGCTTGGATGATAGCACAAGACAGAAAAAATCATTACATGTGCTTCAAAGGTTATTTCTTTCTTCAACCTAAGGTGGTAAGAAATATTGTTTAAAAGGACACAAACTAAGAGGGAGAGAGATTTGATAACTATCAGAAGAGAAGAACTTAGCCTAAAATTTGATAAGTATATTGTTTTTGGTTTTATTTTATTTCTTTTTTTTAATTGTTAAAATTGCTTTGCCTACGCTGTCATGTATATTATGCCAAACTAATCGGCCAAAATTATCAGCCCATCTATCATTACCCTAAAAATTATCTCAACTCTCTGTGTCGGTGTTCTGTCGATGGAAGCTGGTTGCCATGATGGCAACTAAAAAAAACTACTGCGCAGTAGATTAGGAAGGCCAAGACAAAGGTGGTTTAATGATCGAATGACGTTAAATGATTTAGAGCATTTGGAGACCGCATAAATGTCAGCACTTCACCTAGTCACTTCTAAGAGCTTGCAACATAAGGAGGTGAACCGGTGGCTGAGACACAGCCATTATAGTCAACGGTGAGAAGCGAAATGGTAACCCATATGTCATGCTGGGTCTATTTGCAGGAAAATTTTGCGTGCTTGATATGAGTAGAGTTGAATTTTCAAATATTCTACATTTGTGTATAAATTGTGAAGAGTAAAAAGAGTTGGAAGATTCTAGAATATTAGAAGGTTTTTAAATAGGAGTAATTGAGAGACTTGAGAGAATATAAAATATTGAAAAACTTGTAAGTATTTGTAGAATGTATCAAAATTTGTAGGTACGTAGATATTTTATTGGAGTGTTAATCTTGACTGTCGGGGAGCTGTTGGAGTCATTTATGGAACCAATCATATCTCTGATTCGTTCAATAATGTTGAAGAGAGTAGGGAAGAAGGTGTCACAAAAGAGTATACTATATTAAGATGATAAGTCGTTTTTCATAAGTAGGAAATTGAACCTTCTTATAGGGTTAGAATAAGGAATGGAAGTAGCTCTAACATTGATAGAGCCAATTCCAATGACATTATTTCATAATTTAAATGTAATATTTTATTAGTGATTTAATCCTATTTAGGGCAATCTGGAAGCAAATTGGAAGAATTAATAATATTTTTTAAATTTGGACGAAATTGGAGGAAAGGATAAGAGATTTGATAACCATTTTTTAACCATGTTTTTTCTAATCAGGTAACCGTCACAAAATAAAATCAATTCATTTCTTTTCTCCAATATTTTTCCCAAACATAATTTAAGGTTATATTACATTTAACAAGAACAATATATGACAAATGCACATTTTTTTTTTTTTTTTTTTATCTTAATCATAAGGGGCGGCATTTGATGAAGCATTCCAAAACTTAACCTACTGCATGCTGTGGAAATGAGATACCAATAGCTAAAACAACTAAATATGAAAGGCAACTCCAAATATACTTTTATTAACAAATGAAAGGACTTACAGTAGCGCACACAAACCTTTAAAAAAAATTGAATTGAAAGCAAATATGAAAAAAAAGGAGAAAATCAAGAATGCAACAATTGTACATTTCCTGGGGACCCAAGTAGGGTCTGAAAACTAGTAGAAAATACTCCCACTGACTTAGTAATGATGATCCTGATATATAGCTCCAAATTCTGCTCTCCATGCCTGATCATCGTCTGGCAGTGGGGTACTAGTGTTGTGTGTTATATCAGAATCCTCCCTGTACAGGGGTCGCAGTGCAGCTTCCGGCAATCGGCTCTCTGCAAGGTATTGTTTCATGGTGATCATCTCCATTTTGTGTTTTCTCTTTTGCTTCTCCACTTGCTTCTTTAACTTCTCATTCTCTTCCTGAAGCATTGTGAAGTTCTCCTGTAAATATAGAGAAAAAGCATCAATAAAGACTCAAAAGTAGAAGAAAAGCAACAATGTTTCCAACTTAGAATTTCCCCTTTTATGCAAGAATTATCTACCTCGGATATTGAAGCTGCTTCCTCGGCTTCTCTGAGCCTAACAAGAAGTTCTCCAGCAGCATGGACAGCTTCTGCAGTGTCTCTAAGTTGAATTCTAAGACTTTTGTTCTCCTTCTTCAATAATTCTCTCTCCCTCTCCCTCTCCACTCTCATGACTGAAAGCTCTGCAGCAAGGGACTTGGCAAAACGAGAGCCATGACCTTTATTTCCTGCTTTTGCAGCTGCCCTTTTCACCTCTGCAATCCCTTCCATAATCATCCGGTGTTTTTCAGCCAAGTCATTATATTTCTCCTGTAGTTCAGTATAGTGTTCAACCATTCTAGCGTGCCCAAGGACAGCCCTTTTAAGTGCATCATCCAACTCCTCAGTGCAGTTCTTCTCTGACCTCAACTCCATCTCCACCTTTTCTGCCTGCCGGCGCATGGACTCAAGATCAATTCTTAATTCATCAGTCAAACAAATCCAGTCGCTCTCCATTTCCATCCATCTCTGTCTTTCCTTCTCGAGTTCCTCCTCATTGTTTCCTTGAGAAAACACCCCACTTTTTCTCAATTGAATCGATTGTGATAAAAGGGAGGATCTCAATCTCTCAGTAGACTTGTTTGGAGATACATCAGTAAATGACTGCAATTTACTCCTTAAGATTTGAATTTCCTTAAGAAGTGCTTCCTTCTCGTTCATATCAAAGGATGTGTTCCTGCATCCATAATCCAACTCTTCCCTGACTTCTTTTATTTCATATTTTTCTTCTACGATCTCTGGCTCATGATACTCACTATCATCCCATCTCATAAGCTGATACAATCACCAGTGACACAAATAAGAACAAAAGACAACAAACTTTGCAAGAATGATCTAAGGGATGCAAGGCGTTAAAAAGAAGAATTGCAGGACAGCAACTAACCTTGTTTTCAACCTCTAGTGAATGAAACTTTTCATTTTTCAACTCATCAGTTTGTACTACTTCATTCTTCAAGCCCTCAAGAAGAAGAGTATTATTATGTTCTACTGTAGGATTCTGTTCTCTCTCATGTTTGTACTGCTCTATCTGTAGAAATATCAGATTATTAATATTGTTAAATCCTGGTTGTGGCACAATCTCATACTTCATAGAGGACAAGAAATTCTCACCAGAAGATTTAGCTGCTCAATTTTTGCTGCTTGTTCCGTACAAATATTTTCTAGCTCGTCTCTTCTTTTGATGGCTTCTGCAAAATCTTTTCCACCATCCTGATGAAGAATAAATCAAACACAAGAAGTAAATTAAACAGGTCCAACAAAGGGAAAAGAAGTAATAAGTGCATTTTTTAGACTAAAACCTTGAATCTAGACATACTTTAGGCACTTGATTTGCCAGACCATTCAAATTGCCTTCCCCATCTACTGTTACTATCCATGATTTCAAGCTATCGTGGACTTCTTTGGAGCCAATTAATGCTGTTCGTCGGCAAGATGCACATAGGAAAGAAACAGGTGGTCCATCTGAAGATGGTCTCTCTTCTGGCAATGTTTGAACAGAAGCATTGTTTTTGTCAACAGCCTGACACGGTTTAAGTGTCAGCTGATCAAAAGAGAAGGCAACTGAAGATTTATTTGATGACGAATTCCGTTGGTGATAGTCTATAATCTGTAAGCCTCTCTGAAGACTAGCAGCCAAGGATTCAGTGGGGCCTGGAAAGATCTTGCTTGACCTCAAAGAGGATTGAACATGTTCACTTTGTTTTTGTGACTGCCTCAACACATCTGAATTGGACGTGGAACTCTTCAACACAATGTTCTGACTTGCCAAATCGGATGAGATTGCTATGCTTTTCCTTAGAGTATTTCCAATTTTTGGGGACTCAGTGAATGTCGGATCTTCAAGAACTGAAGTCTGACGGCATGCACTAATTGAAAAGGTACTTCTAGGTTCTGGATCAATGGTCATTGGATTGGTGGGGGCACTTGAAAGGTTGACCACAGATGCAGATTTTCCCATCTGTGGAGATTCAGTCTGAGATTTCTCCAAATTAATTTCTTCAGTTTCACTTTCTTCTAAATGGCTTATGTCATGTTCACTTGTCAAGTCTGTCTCAGAACCTTCTTCTAAAGGAGGAAACTGGATGCAGTCTTGGTTCTTAGATGCATCTTTTGAATTCTCTTCATAAGAACTATGCAAATTATCTAGTTGATGGCATAGTTCTCTTACATCATCCTCATTAACATTTACTTCTTCCTCAGAATCATTATCTATTCTGGGTAGGATCAAGGAGCGATTAAGGCTGAGTCTCAGTTGATTCACGCTTCCACGCACACTTTGACCTTTAAAGTATCCATAATTACTTCCAACTGAGTTGCATACATTTGATTTTGCTCTTATGAGTTCCTCCTGCAATTAAAAAAACAATACAAAAAAAAAAAAAAAAAAAAAAAAAAAAAAAAAAAAAAAAAACACTTTCACCAACTCATTATCACCAATTCAATAATGCAATTATAACTGCCTATACTTGCAGGACGAGTTAAAATACCTTTAACTGACGAATCTGGTCGCTCAGACCATTAACGTCATCCTCTGTTATTTCATTTATTACTGGATCATTTTGTACAGTTTTTACTCGCTGTCCAAATCTGAGTGTGCTCAGTGATTCACCGTTGCTCCTGCATTCAACATAGATGGCCATTGTTTCATGAATAATATGGAAGACTGCAGATTTCAGGGGCAAATTTGGGAGAAGACAAATATTTTGATTGGCACACTGAGTCCTAATATCAGAGTGATTCTGGTAAATCAAATCTTTCTAAGCATTGTAATAAACTGATGTCAATATTTTAGGCAATGACTCTTTTTTCTTCTTTCAATTCTCTGATACAGCATTTGCGGCGCAATGAGGAGATTGCTAATCAAAGGGATGCAAGCAAGTAGGCCCATTCTATTGATAGGGAGGATGTGAGAAAGAATCTTACTCTTATAATATTATAATTGTGAATTCAGATGGCCCATTTTCAAGTGGAATGATGCCCTATTCAGAATCTTACTCATAATATTATAATTAGGAATTCAGAAGGCCCATTTTCAAGGAATGATACCTAATCCAAGGCGGTGTTGCTGAACAGCAGCACCACCAGCTTTCAGCATGACTATACATAAACATCATAACATTTTCTAGTTGACAGCAGTATAAATTCAGTTTGTATAAATATAATGCAGAAAAATTTTGAAAGTGAAAAATACTTGTTGTCTTGGGAGATGGTGCATATAACTGTGAGTTTGGCATTGCCACCAAGTGATTCTTTCAGTAAATGCGTTAAAATGGAACTTCTATATGGAATGTCTTCAGGTTTTCTGGACTGTGTTCCTTCAGCAAGGAAATTTACCAAGTGCCTGTGCCAAATTAACGAAACCATAACAAAAAGAAGCAGTAGGTTAGTCAAACTATAATTTGTTCACTACTACTAGTTACAGAAAACAACTATGTAGTATTGAGCTATAAACTATTCTTAAAAGCAGCTAGACATGAGGTGTTGCAAATTCGCACAATGATATCTTTTAAGATCTATTAAGGAGATTGGCACCATACCCAAGCTGTGATAAGGACTTCTTTACATTTTTTTCTTCCTTTACACACTGTCTACTGGCATCATCAGGCTTGTTTCTCTCCAGTCCAGCAAGATCAATGAAGCTGATTCTGCTTGTCTTTGAACTACCAAAACATTTTGATGAGTAACCCTGTGGCATAATACAAATGTACAATATCAGAACCAACAGTGATTAAGGCACATGTATGTGGTAAAAGGAGCGATTGAATGATAATAATTGTGATGATAAGAAATCTTCCCATTCAAGGATATAAGTTTCTACTTTATGAACAGAGATCAAAAAGAACAAACAGAATTATAATAGCAAATTCAACTAACTATATCATGGTATCATGGCATTTATGGGCTAAAAAAAAATGTTTCTTTTATAAACAGTACTTTGTCACAAAAATAAAATAATAGGTGTAACATAAGACTTCACAGTTCATCAAAATACCAGCACTGATGGTGAATCAAACTCTACCATACCCAAAAGTGACAATAATTTTGGCAAATTGCTAAATCCAAAGTAAAAATAGTAATAGGTGAATCAAAATACTTTGTCACAAAAATAAAATAATAGGTGTAACATAAGACTTCACAGTTCATCAAAATACCAGCACTGATGGTGAATCTAACTCTACCATACCCAAAAGTGACAATAATTTTGGCAAATTGCTAAATCCAAAGTAAAAATAGTAACTTCTTACATGAATATGGTTAGAGTGATGTGAATATAAAATATACACACACATTAACATGGAACTATAGTACTATATTCATACAAACACCAGAAAAATATAGTACTATATTACTATAGTACTATACTCATACAAACACCAGAAAAATATCATTCATAAAAAGTAGATCATTTCCAATAGTTATTGAAGGCAATTATAAATTTCGAAGGCAATTATGCACTCCAATGTTCAATATTACCCTGCACATCATTCATTAAAAGTAGATCATTTCTAATAGCGCGATTGAAGGCAAATGTAAACTCCACTTTTCAATATTACCTTGCACCAGAATTCAATAATGACTTCTAATAGCGATTGAAGGCAATCCTAAACTCCAATGTTCGATAACCAGGATTCAATGATGCAGCAATATGGGAATTTGAACTCTTTGAAGTTATGCCCATCGCTAATTTTATGCTAAATCCACGTGGGTGATGGGTAGAGTGATGTGAATAATACAAATAATTCATTTAAACAAGAAATTGAATTACTATATTCACATAAACACAAACATGAATTCAGTGATGCACATGAACACAATACAGGAATGTGAACACTCTTTGAATTTATGCTTGTTGCTGATTTTGATAAAATGCTAAATCCAAAGTGAAAAATGGTAACTTTTGCATGAACATGGATGATGGATAGAATGATGTGAATATACAAACAGTTCTTTTAAACATGAAACTAAAGCGGTATTCAGATAGACAAAAACACCACAAAAATGTCATTCATAAAAAGTAAACAATTTGTAATAGCAATCGAAGGCAATTCTGCACTCAGATGTTCAATATTACCTTGCACCAGGATTCAATGATGAACGTGAACACAATATGGGAACGTGAACTCTTTGAATTTATGCTTGTTGCTCCAACTTTTCTACTTGAAAGACCCTGTATCAAAATAGAAGTTAACAATATAGAGCATAAAAATTATCTGTGTATAACAGAATTTAGAATCCACACTAATGCACACCTTGATCAAAATTTGGGTTACATCTTCACAACTAGTTACATATTCCTCAGTCAAATTCTCTACATAAAGTCCATTTTTGGCATCATCCTTGATCTGCAGCAGTTTAGGTCAAGCCATCAGTACCGTTAAACGGATTGAAGTAACCCATGATGTTAAAAATGAGGACAGTAATCTCCACCTCTAGGTTTCTCTGGATTGGATCAAGTAAATCCCCAATTTGTTCGTTGTATATCTGTGATAACAAATCAAAATATACTTAATAAACTTTTATACATGTAAAGTGAAAAGCACATACACTTGGAGGGGAAAAAAATTCAAGCATACCTCAAGGAATGAACAACGGCATTGATAATTTATCTGTTTACCTTCCGAATTCTCCTGCTCCTAATAACTCAAAACAGAATCATTAGTGACTAACTTAAACAATTTTCGTGCTTCAGTTTTGCCCAGATTAAGAAATAAAACCTACTTGCTGAATCTCGGAGAACAGCATCTGGAAGATGCGTGGAACAATGCCCTGATGACTGCTGACAGAATGACCATCAACCATGGCGCTTGGAGGACCCCACATTGTGTAAGTCTTGCCGCTTCCAGTCTAGTTTGAGAATTCATCAGAAGTTATTTCACAGAGTACATACAATCATATGATTTTAATAGAAATGTGAATCTAAAAAAAATGGCTACAACATAATAATCTATGAGTACCTGTCCATAGGCCAAGACTGATGTGTTGTAACCAGCTAATGCATTTTTAACCAGAGGGACACCAACTAACTGAAATATATCCTCCTGGTAGAAGAAACAACAACTTATACATCAAAATCCCAATTCAAACCCAATAAAATGCAAGGAAATAGGAAAATAAATTGAAAGTTTGATATAAAAGTGTAAAGTAAGATACAAAATTTTCATTTCTTTTATCGAAAAAATTTCCGGAAACCAAACATGGTCTGACTTAAGTACAGAAAAATGTGGTCTCGCAGACAAAGGAAAGCGAAAACTGAGTTCAGAACCTGATTTGAATTCGAATCGAGAACCGAATCAAAGGTGAACTTTCGGTTCGCAATCGATAGTGAATCATCAGAAACCTTCCTAACCGTCCGATCTCCTTCTCTTTCATGATGATTAGTAGGTCTAATCCTCACTACGACCTATAAAACAACACATCGCACACACAAACACGCACAATTATTGTATAAATACTGCAAAATTTCAAACAACGTCAAGGAATTGCAATCTCATAGTGTTACATACCTTGACTGGGGGATCTGGAGGCATCGGCGCTTCTTCATGACCGTCTGATCTGGTGATTTCTTTCTGTGAAATTTCCATTTTAGACGGTAATTGTTTAGGTGCAGTAGGTGAAAGTGGAATGTTCTCAACCTGAATGTTTGGATCGATTGGTGGCATGTTTTCACTGTTTAACTTCGATTTTGTACGAACTGAGTACATCTTTTTCTTGCTAGAGACCGATCTGGGAAGGAAATTTCGGATGGATGAGGCTGAAATGCTCCCCAAGAATCGATTCTCTGAGATCTCTGTGTTTGATTTCATGATTCTAGAAAGAGAGATCTGATGAAGAGAAAAGTTTGCTAGAGAGAGATCTGATTAAGAGAAAAGTTTGCTAGAGAGAGAGTATGTGGTGAGAGAAAGAGAGAGAGCCTTCAATTCAATGCTTTGCAGGGAGGGAAGAAGAGAAGCGTTTTTGGTTGTGTGTGATGACCGTTGAGCTATAGATTTTGAACGCCATCAGGGTTTGAAATTTTAAACCTGCTATTTTAGGTCAAATGACTAAAATGACTACCGACCTTTGCCTTTTTACAGTTTTGACTTTTGAGCCCACTGATCAGCTTAGCCCAATTAATTGAGTCCATGGAATCTTGATAGTTTATACAACACCGATGGTATTTCTTCATCTTTTAAAATAAAGGTTGAGGGTTTGAATTTCTATTGGAGCAAAAGTGGGTATGTGAGTATGTAATTTTTATCAATGAAAAAAAAATATGAACTTTTCTTTTTTCCTTTTTAATAAATCTTGAAAGGACTCTCAACAAGGATACAAAATATAATTTTAGGGTATTTGTAGGTCCAAATAACACCAAAAATTAGATTTATGCCTACTTGTGGGAGCCATAAGAACTTTAGGTAAACTTTAGAAACTTACTTACCAGAAAAAAATAATAATAATAAAAAATAACTTTTGGAGAAATAGTAACTACACCGATTATGAGAAGGGGGTTGTGGCCCCACAACATTGCCCTAGCATTTTTATAACTTGAATAAGACCTTTAATAAGGTAATGAGTTGTGTCAAGTAGTCTTTGTAAAGGGAAAATAACAAAAGATAAAATTAATTATTTAAAATATATTTTTTTATCTTGATAAAAAATTCACACACCCCCTTTTGTCTTTATGAAAATTTAAACTCTAAGACATTTATGATGAAATACAGTAAGTTATAGTCCTTGATTTAAAAATAAAATCATAAAAAATTGAATTAAAAAAAAAAAAAAAAAAAAACCTCACTAGGATGATCAAGAGAGAGGGACACGTTTTTCGTAGATAAGGACGACTTATAGCAATTATGGGCTTTTTTTTGGGCCGTAAGATCCAATATGCTTCATTAAGAAGGAGTTTTTGGTCCTTTTGCAGTTGAAGAGAAACACTGGTCCACCAAAAAATTCAAATATGTAGCCGTTGTGACCCCTTAGGGCCTGGACGGCGGAGCGGATCACCAAAAGATTGCTACAATCACACCAACAGTCTGTTTAACAGTGACAGCCCACAAAATGGGCACCTTCACTTGCTCATCCTCTCATTTAGGCGCATCAAACACACACACACAAATGAGTCTAGATCAACTGCGTATACGAGTAATGGTGAGAAATAGACTATATCTGTATGTGCATGGAATTTGAAAAAAAAAACTACAGTATTTATTTTAAATTATTTATTAGTAAAGTGTCCAATGAGCACAAACTAATCATAAAAGAGGAAAGAATGGCATCATGAGAAGACCTACCAACAAACATCAGAGGTCCAGACCTGAGAATCCTAAAATCTATGCCCCCGGAGGTTATGAAAAAGTTGGGGTATATTACTTTGACTTTTCACTTATAAATTGTGAGCACCGAATTAGTGTTTTGAATTTGAAATTATAACAAATTTAGTTTAAAATTTGTACTAATTTTTTTTTAATTTCAAATTCAAAGCATCAATTCAGTACCACCAAATATAACTTCAGTTAGAATTAAAGCTCGTATAAGAAATCGAAATTGTTACCATCTTAACTAATATTATGTTTGAGAGCACATAATCGATGTCTTGAATTTGAGATTGGAATAAGTTTAGTAGAGATTTGTATTAAATATTTTCCAATCCAAAATTCATAACACTTTTTCAAAACTGCCAAACATAGCATAAACTAAATTTCATTGGACAAAAATATCCTTATCCAAACTACAAACACACACATCTTACACATCTTAGCACTTTCTCTCTCTTGTTATTAGCATAAAAATGCCCCAAAAATATTAATATTTTGATTATAAACAATTAAAATTAATAAATAAATGAATATTATATTTATTTAATATAAATATAAACTTACATTTAGTTTAGACATGCACACACACTAATGCATTATTTTACTTGCAATGGATTCCTTTCAATTTTTTTTGAAAATTATTAAATTTTAATTTTCAAAGCCTTAAAATTTGACAATGATAAATTATATAATTAGAAATTATATAATTATATTTTTATAAATCCAGTAGTTCTAACCAAATGCAAAAACATAAATTAATTTATTTTGTGTTTAGTAACGAGAAACATTTCTTATTTTCTGTTGTCAACCTCTAAAAAGGCAAAACGAAAACAAAAATCACGTTCAATAAAATGTTTTTATTTTTCAATAACAGGAAACGTTTTCAATTTTTGTGACGAAAAGGGAAAACATCAAAATGATATTTCTTATATTTTTGACACTGTAGCGCATAAACGTTTTCACTAATGTTACTGCACAGACACTTCATTTCAAATAAAATTTATATTATTTGTTTTATATATTAAGTTGCATATTAAATGTTAATAAATATATATATTTTTAAATATAGATAAATTAAATATTGTATATTATTTTCTATTTGATAAAAATATTTTTTTAATATATAATATATTAAATAATAATGTAAATTATTTTTTGTGACAAAATAATTTTTGATATAGAATATAATTTTATTAAATTATTAAGCAGTAGATATTTTATATTATTATATATCATATCTATATTATATTATATGTAAATATTAAATTATAATTAATTTACAATATTATAACACAATATATATTTTATTACATATAAGATATATTATGTAATATTTTTTATTCATAATAAATTATCATATGCTAAATATATTATATATCACATAATAAATGTATACATCATGCATATACATGTATTTATATACATAATTGGTGGGAATGTTTTTGTCTTGGTATATCTAATTTTGTATTTATGATGTATTAGGTATTTTTTTTTAAAATACCTAATACCTTTCAATTTTTTTTGAAAATTATTAAAATTTAATTTTCAAAGCCTTAAAATTTGACAATGATAAATTATATAATTAGAAATTATATAATTATATTTTTATAAATCCAGTAGTTCTAACCAAATGCAAAAACATAAATTAATTTATTTTGCGTTTAGTAACGAGAAACGTTTCTTATTTTCTGTTGTCAACCTCTAAAAAGGCAAAACGAAAACAAAAATCGCGTTCAATAAAATGTTTTTATTTTTCTATAACAGGAAACGTTTTCAATTTTTGTAAAGAAAAGGGAAAATATCAAAATGATATTTCTTATATTTTTGGCACTGTAGCGCATAAACGTTTTCACTAATGTTACTGCACAGGCACTATTCATTTCAAATAAAATTTATATTATTTGTTTTATATATTAAGTTGCATATTAAACGTTAATAAATATATATTTTTTAAACATAGATAAATTAAATATTGTATATTATTTTCTATTTGATAAAAATATTTTTTTAATATATAATATATTAAATAATAATGTAAATTATTTTTTGTGACAAAATAATTTTTGATATAGAATATAATGTTATTAAATTATTAAGCAGTAGATATTTTATATTATTATATAAATTATAATTAATTTACAGTATTATAACACAATATATATTTTATTACATATAAGATATATTATTTAATATTTTTTATTCATAATAAATTATCATATGCTAAATATATTATATATCACATAATAAATGTATACATCATGCATATACATGTATTTATATACATAATTGGTGGGAATGTTTTTGTTTTGGTATATCTAATTTTGTACTTACGATGTATTATGTATTTTTAAGATTTATAATTGTAAATTAGATTTTCTAGATTTATGACTTTTTGATATTAATGGAAGCAAGTGTCATATCTGAGTGGTTGGGTTGCTCCCTATGTCTGAGAATTCGTGTTCAAGTCATCTACCCTCCCCTCTAATCAATAACTCCTAAAATTTTTGTCATGAAAAAAAATAAAAAATTTAAAGAATATTATGTACATTTTGTAACAAATATGTTGTATTACTAAACATAGTTATTGTTTTACGTTTTAAAATTTGTGACAATAACAAGTATTAATAAACATTATTTATTTTTTTAATTTTCACATAAGAAAGCAAAATCATGTTTCTACTTTCTTAATACTACAAAAACAGAAAACGAAAATGTTACTAAACGCACCTATTAAACACACTATTTGTGTTTTGTTTCAAATTTTGAAAATAGACAAACAATTATTAAACATGATTTTACTTTCTATTTTAGCTGCAAGAAAGCAAAATTATGATTTTACTTTGAAAAAAGTAAAAATCAAAAAGTGAAAGTTTGCTCTCAAAGTCTAGCAAATTACCTAGCTAACCAAAGGGCCAAGTGGCCCAGAAGCACTGACTCCTGCTCTTTGAAAAAAAGGTTTAGAGTTCAAGTGTGTGTGATTGCTATGGGGAAAAAAAAATTACCTAGGCTGCTCCCATTTCTTGAGACCACCTGTAATTAAGTTGCATATCGAGTGTGTCATGATCTAAAGGAGTGGTTTAGGTAATTCCAAATGTGCAATACAATTTATTATATCACCAAGCATAAATTCATTGATGGCAAAAGCCACGGAGGGGATAGCAAGATTGTTCTGAATTGTTCTGTTTTTTTTTTTTTAATTTTTATTTTGACAAAAAACTTACATATTACTCTTGTGTAGACAAAAACCCCCGGCCTCCTAATCTGAAAGGTGAAAAAGTACCATTGTGTTACAATTCACTTAAATTATAGTAATAATTACAAATAAACAGTTTTAATTTGTTATTAAAATTAATATTTTGCCATTTGAAAAGCAAATAATAATGATAACAATAAGGAAAAAAACAAAAATAAACCCTGAAAAAATAAAAATGAAAGTGAAAAATTGCTGTTGTAAGTTTGCTTTGCATATATAGTTTCATTTTCTTATAGTCAATCGTGGTCAAGATAGCTTGAGGACCGGTACGAAAATAGGATCAGATGATTTTAGCTGACATTTAGTTGCTGGCCTAGTAATGGAATAATGGACATCCTTCATTCACATTCACATTAACATTAATGTTCTTCATGTTGTATCAAATTTTTTTTTAATATTATTAAATTAAATACAATAATTATTATATTTATAAATAAAGAAACAAATAAATAAAACACAAAATTTCATTTCACAACACATTATACATCAAATAAACTTAAAGCCTTAAACCATTCATTACAAGAACAAAAAACAGTAAATTTGCATCAGTTTTTTTTTTTTTAAAGCCCCTTTAAAAAATATACTCGGTATATCCTAACTGTATCCAAAAAATATCCCGCGCATGCCAATCGTATCCCAATCATATCCAAAAATTTAAAATTTATTTTAAAAAATGAAATAATTCTCTGAAGTATTGGACACCTGTAAGTCCGGAGTAGTTATTTAAAAATCTTTTAATCCTTTCTTTATTTTTAAATTATCACTTTAGTTTAAATGATGTTTAAGCACAATCTTTACATTTTTTTATTTTATCACTTCTTACGTATATGTTTTTTTTTTCTTCCAAAACTAACTTTTCTTTCTTTCTTTCCAAACATGATTAATTGGTAAAACTGCCATTTTTTTTTTTTTTTTTTTTTGTCATTAATCAATAATATGGTGAGAAATTAACACTAGCTTTGGTTTGTGACTATCTAATGTCATTTTTTTTTTTTTTTTTTTTTTCTTTTCTTTTCTATCGGAATGTGTTTTTTTTCTTTATCAGCATAATTTTGAAGTTGAATTATGTGATTGATTGATTGTTCTTGCAAATATATATATATATGTGTGTGTGTGTGTGTGATTGTTCCACCAATCAAAACGTCCCAGCTCCATCTCGATACCAACGAACCATCAATTTACGATCACTCTCAGCCCTCAACCTCCACAACTTGTTCGCCGGCGGCAACGAAGATGAGGCCAAATGCCGGCGGCAACTTCATCGACAGCCCTCATGTTAGGCTCACGACGGCGGTGTTGGCGGCGGAATAGACGCCGTAGGGCGGCCTTGATCTTGACAGCGCAAACCAACTCATCAGATCTATGTGTTCGACTCTGTAACAACAGATAAGGTAAATTGTTTTCTCTAAACTAGGGTTTTTCTTTGCATTGATAGTTTTAGCTGTTTGTTTGGTGAGAAAGGAGTAGAGGAAACTAAATTGAGGTTTTTCTCGGTGAGAACTTTGGGTTTAGAGCCGAACCTGAGTTTTTCTGTTGCTTTTTCTCTTCCTTTGCGCTCTGACCGCCATCGTTCACCGGATTGTCTCCGACAGCCATTGATGGCTGTTATCAATGTCTGTATGAAGGTAACATACGTAGTAATTAAGATTAAAGTTCCATCTGTTTCAACCTAAAATATTTTACTCTGGAAAATATTTTTTATTTTCAGATAAAATATATATTTTTATTTTTATTTTTGAGTGTTTGACAAAGTATATTTTGAGTTGAGGGCAAATCCATATGACCGTAGCGTTAAAAAAATAAAAAATAAAAAATAAATAATAATGATAATTATAATAATAATAATGTAGGAACTCCAAAGGAATAGCCTAAAACATCATCCAAAAAAAAGGTTAAAAAAGAAAAGAAAAAGGATCAATGCAATTTTTAAATAAATTAATTAGTGTAATAAGAATAGTCCGTTTTTGGAACGACGGAATACAAGCGCAAACAAGGAAGTCGACCCAGTGGGAAAGTGGTTTGATATCCTTCAAGTGAGCGTTAACCTATAAAAGGCCGTGTCTTACAAGGCCCTTTGTATGGGCTGGGCTAACATAGAGTGGGCCTAGGTCAGTTCTATTGTTCGTGCGTCTCCTGACCCCATTGATTCATCGATCTCAACTACCCCCCGCTAGGGTTTATATTGTTTGCACAAAAACCCTGGGCTTCTCTCTCTAGCTGGTATCGTTTATCCTCATCTGCTTAGTCTTTGTTCAGGTAATCCTTGCTCTTTATTGGCTTTTTCTATACTATTATTAAAATTAAGATGCTGTGTGTTTGGGAAATTGGAGCCTTAGGATTGAAATTGACGCCTTGCAATTAGAATTGAAAAAAATTTTAGTTCAATTTTCTGAGTTACTTTTCTCTAATTCCACCAATTGGAATTCTAAAGCTCCAATTCCGTGCGTACCAAACATAGCCTGAGTTTCTTTATTCATATTTTGAGTTTCTATTATATTTATATATATATATATATATTTTTTTTTTTTTTTTGAAATTTTATCATATATTGTTGAAGAAACGAAACAATTCATTTTTTTAAGTTTACATAACTTTCCTCGGACAACAAGTATTATTTTTTAATTCTATTTCTTATTATATTATAGTTTAGGCTTACATAAATTTTCCTTGAACAACAAGTAGTATTTTCTAATTGTATTTATTGTTACATTATATATTATATCTCTATCAGACACATCTTCAGAGTAAAAGCTCTGGGATTCATTAAATTGGTGAATATTGCTTTAATCTTTTTATTTCGTAATCATTTATTTAATTACTTTTAAATTAATATTTGATTTTGATGATACTTATGATTTTCAGGAATACACAACCCCGATTTCAGAATATTATAATGGACCGGCGAAATACAGGTTAGTACTTCACAGTCTGATCTATATTCTTTTGCTATTATTTAGTTCTACTCCATACATATAATCGTGAAAATTTGTGAATGAAGTTTGAAAGAATTTTGGTTTATTTTTCCTTTACTTTTAATAATTAAATGCATTAGATATACATCAAGTCATAGTATTTGAGAATGTACAAAACATAGAAGGAAAATTGCGAGGCAGATAGTAACCAAATAAGAACTAGGAAATTTGATTTATAAGTATATTTCTAGATGTTCTCCAAAAATAAATGTTACATGTTCTGAAATTTGAAAAATTTAGAAAGGTTGTAAAAGAATTTTTTTTTTTTTTTTTTTGGAGCTTCGTATATAAACATTATGGATAATAATAATGATTATGTTAATTTATTATATTGGTTTATTTGTTTTTCTGTTTGATGGATATTATTTTATGATTTCCAATAGTTTCTATCATATTTTGAGTTTGTATCATGTATTTACTATTTTTTCTAAAATAGTTTCTATCACATATTTGATGTTGATAGAATGAGACTTTTACTTGATATTAATGTACATCCTTGAGAATATGTAACAGTATCTGCGTCTATCTGCCTTGTGTGAATTTTGACTCTCATCAAAATTTTGCATTGCGACTTAGTGATATCTAATTTATTGATTGATATATAACAATCCTTTGCAATTCTTTATTCCTTTGTCATGGGTTCATCATTCAATTTTGCTTGTGATCTCATAGTAATTCTTCCAGTTTCCTATTGTGCAACATGTTGATCTTTGAGTTTTTCTGTTTTTTGACTTGTTGGTTCTGTATCTCTTTGTACTTTGTAGAAGCTTTCTTATATGCAGGAATGGACAGCAACTCTCAGTCTTCCGGTTTTCAGGTAGTATGTGTTTTTATTTTGTCATCTTGGTATAAGAACATTTCAACTTGAGTTAAACAAAAATTAGTTGTGTATTTATAATCTTTTATCCCAACGTTGTTTTAATTACAGATTATATAAACCTTTTTTTCACTTTTTTATTTTTTCATTATAAATTTGTTTAAGATAAGATTTGTGCTTCTCACATATTTTCCATTAATTTTGGGTCATTTTCAATGTATTGAAACACGGGCTGTTTTACTTTGGCTTGAGTTTTCAGTCAACTAAATTGAATTTAGGAAATTGTGAACATCTTTTTTATGACAGTTCAGGCCAATCTTTGACTGGATAAACTTGAAGAAATATATATTTCCCTTTCGCATGAGTTTTTTGTTCAAATTAATTAGTTTTAGTACTTGGTTCATACTCTTTTCCCAGGCAAAGATTATAATATCGTAAATATATTTATGCTAATCCTTTTTTACGATAATTTATATTGTTTAGTTGTGTTATTTTGGCCTCTAAATATTTCTCTTTCTCTCTCCTGTAAAAGCCTCCGCCTCCTGGAGTTGGACCAATAGGCCCTCGAAGTTATGCTCCACCCTTCCCTATGCAGGTAAACTTCTATCCTTTCTGAGTTACATCTTAGTCCTTATCTGCTTCTTCTAAAAGGGCTAGCCTAGTGCACGAAGCTCCCTTATCTGCCTCTTATAAGATCTATAATATGTTCACTATGAGCAAATCCATTTGCTACACATGTGGTTCTGGCACAGCAAGGACAGGCAACTTTGGGTTCGCAACAATTTTGGCTTGAGTTTTCAGTCAACTAAATTGAATTTAGGATATTGTCAAAATCTTTATTATGACAGTTTAGGCCAATCTTTGACTGGATTAACTTGAAGAATTATATATTTCCCTTTGGCACAAGTTTTTGTTCAACTTAATTAGTTTTAATGCTTGGTGCATTCTCTTTTCCCTGGCCAAGATTATATTATCGTAAAATATATTTATGCTAATCCTTTTTACAATAATTTATATTGTTTAGCTGTGTTATTTGGCCTCTAAATATTTCTTTCTCCTGTAAAAGCCTCGCGGGCCTCCCGGAGTTGGACCAATGGGCCCTCAATGTTATGTTCCACCCTTACCCATGCAGGTAAACTTCTTTCCTTTCTGAGTTACATGTCATTCCTTATCTGCTTCTTTTAAAAAGCGCTAGCCTAGTGCACGAGACTCCCTTATCTGCTTCTTATAAGATCTATAATATGTTCACCATGAGCAAATCCATTTGCTACATGTGGTTCTGGCACAGCAAGGACAGGCAACTTTGGGTTCTCAACAATTTTGGCTTGAGTTTTCAATCAACTAAATTGAATTTAGGATATTATCAAAATCTTTATTATGACAGTTTAGGCCAATATTTGACTGGATTAACTTGACGAATTATATATTTCCCTTTGGCATGAGTTTTTGTTCAACTTACTTAGTTTTAGTACTTGGTGCAATCTCTTTTCCATGGCCAAGATTATATCATCATAAAATATATTTATGCTAATCCTTTTTACAATAATTTATATTGTTTAGCTGTGTTGTTTGGCCCCTAAATATTTCTTTCTCCTGTAAAAGCCTCGTTGGCCTCCTGGAGTTGGACCAATGGGCCCTCAAAGTTATGCTCCACCCTTCCCTATGCAGGTAAACTTCTCTCCTTTCTGAGTTACATGTCATTCCTTATCTGCTTCTTCTAAAAAGGGCTAGCCTAGTGCTCGATCTATAATGTGTTCACTATGAGCAAATACATGTGGTTCTGGCACAGCAAGGACAGACAACTTTGGGTTCACAACAATTTTGTTCAGTTGGACATGGTATATCTTCACATAATGTTGGGATGCCATCTAGTCAAGGTCAGCCTCTGCAGTTTTCTCAACCAATGCAGCAATTACCTTCAAGGCTTGGCCATCCAAACATACCACAGACCCAGCAATTTGCTCTGCATTTAAATCAACATATGCCTGGTTTAGGTGGTCCAGGAGCACCTTTCTCCTCATCCTATTCTGGAAGTTTCTCCTCATCGCATACTGTAAGTAATTGAAATATGAATACTATTTTGAGTCTCAGATTGCCATTAACTTCATAATGGTTTGTGATTTCAGTTTGCATCATCTTCTTTTGGCCAGCAACCAAATGCGCCGAATGTCTCATCTCAGTTCCGACCATTGTCAGAAATGCATGCATACGGTGCATCACATGTTACTCCTGTGCAGGTGACTGGGCAACAACCTTCAGTTACTGCTTCCACAGTTCCAGTAAGTCAGAAATCAGCCTTCATTCAGTGGCGTAGCTAGGAATTTTCTTTAACGGGGGCAATCTTTAATAGCAATAATATATATATATATATAATTTGAACCAAAACAATATATGTAAAAATTAAAACATTAATTTATTATATTTCTATTCAGTACATTCATAACGATTTTTTCAGATTATTCATTGTTGTTTCAAAATTGAGTTCATTTAATTAAATATACTAAAAAAAATCATATTCAATGAATCAAGAATAAAACATGTAAAAGAAAATAACACAGTTACCAGTTCTAATATATCACATATGTAAAAAAAATAAAATTAAAAATCCATGATAACAGTTAATCTGTGATTTCATTGATTTGGGCTGCAAATAAAAACAAATTCTAAGTGTTATTTAGAGAATAATAATTAGTAACATGATTACACAAACTAAATTTTGAAAGAACAAACAAGCCCTAAAATAATTTTGATAGTAATAACTAATAAATTTTCTAATTAAAATTATAATATGAAATAATAATCATAAATTTATATAATAAAAAAAATAAAAATAAAATCAGATTACCAGTTTGTCGCACTACAGTACGACTCTTAGTCATTCTGTCTACTAGTAAATGGCTGCTCCGCTTGCTTTGTTTGGATTGTGAAAAATGTTGAAAATTGAAGATATGATGGAAACAATCCATTTGTTTGTGGTAAAGTGAAAAGTGTGATAGAATATTAGGAAAGAATATAATATTTTGAGAAAGTAGAAAAAAATATCATATTTTAGGAAAAGTAATAAATTGATAGAATATTTACAATTATGAATTATGTGATGATTATATTCCTTTGTTTTGTGCCTCCTTTTTTTTTTTTTTGTGTAAAACCGTGAATGAGTTTTTGATTATATATATATATATATATATATATATATATATATATTAAATTTTAGAGGGGACAATTATACAAAAATAAAAATCTTTCCATATAAAATTTAAAAAATTTAGAAGTTGAGTGGGGGCAATTGCCCCCACTTGTCCCCATGTGGCTACGCCACTGCCTTCATTGGATTCTTTTTGGTGTTTATCATCTTATAATTTCTCTGTTGTTTGTACAATGACTTCATAATGGTTTGTGATTTCAATTTGCGTCATCTTCTTTTGGCCAGCAACCAAATGCGCCAAATGTCTCATCTCAGTTCCGACCATTGTCAGAAATGCATGCATGCAGTGCATCACATGTTACTCCTGTGCAGGTGACTGGGCAACAACCTTCAGTTACTGCTTCCACAGTTCCAGTAAGTCAGAATTCACCCTTCATTGGATTCTTTTTGGTGTTTATCATCTTAGAATTTCTCTGTTGTTTGTACAATGACCTCATAATGGTTTGTGATTTCAATTTGCATCACCTACTTTTGGCCAGCAACCAAATGCGCCGAATGTCTCATCTCAGTTCCGTCCATTGTCAAAAATGCATGCATGCAGTGCATCACATGTTACTCCTGTGCAGGTGACTGGGCAACAACTTTCAGTTACTGCTTCCACAGTTCCAGTAAGTCAGAATTCACCCTTCATTGGATTCTTTTTGGTGTTTATCATCTTAGAATTTCTCTGTTGTTTGTACAATGGCTTCATAATGGTTTGTGATTTCAATTTGCATCATCTTCTTTTGGCCAGCAACCAAATGCGCTGAATGTCTCATCTCAGTTCCGACCATTGTCAGAAATGCATGCATGCAGTGCATCACATGTTACTCCTGTGCAGGTGACTGGGCAACAACCTTCAGTTACTGCTTCCACTGTTCCAGTAAGTCAGAATTCACCCTTCATTGAATTCTTTTTGGTGTTTATCGTCTTAGAATTTCTCTGTTGTTTGTTCAATGACATGATTTTTTTTTGTATGCAATTTAATGATTAATGTGCTGCAGAAGCTGCCTAATTTTTTCTCTCCAATTTTATTGTACGTCATTAGCTACAATTGTGCATCACATGTTACTCCTGTGCAGGTGACTGGGCAACAACCTTCAGTTACTGCTTCCACAGTTCAAGTAAGTTAGAATTCACACTTCATTGAATTATTTTTGGTGTTTATCATCCTAGAATTTCTCTGTTGTTTGTATAATGTCTTGATGTTTCCTTTTATGCAATTTAATAATTAATGTGCTGCAGAAGCTGCCTAATTTTTTCTCTCCAATTTTCTTGTACGTCATTGGCTCCAATTGTGTAATGGTTTTAATTGCCATTATGTTGGCTTATCTCGTGAAATAGACAGTGCATATCAAACATGTCATTGGCTATCTTCGTGCTCAGAGCATTGATCCCATCCTTAAGGATGGTTTTGGATGAGACGCAGATCGGGGAGAGGAGGTCTGTTCACCTTTTTCCGTTGCAACTGATCGAAGAATGTTTTAATGTTGTCTTAATTTATTTATTTTATCTTGGGGTCTTTGTGACGTGGGCATTCTTTATAAATTGTCTTTTTCATCTGAGGCTATAGACTCGGTCCTCCTTAAGTTGTTGCGTCTTATTTGTAGGCATGGACACAGGCTGCTTTAATGGTATTTGTTAATTCAAGTCAAGAGTGAGTTAAATTTGCATAGGATACCAGAGAAGCTGTATGGAAATAGTATTAAATATTTCATTTGAGTGGCCTAGGAAAAAAAAAATTATATATTTCAGTTGAGTGGTTAATTTAAGAAATACAAAATCTGAATTACATGAGCAATTACATCAAATAGAACCTAGAATGAGGGGGAAGAAATCTGTATTCAATCTGAGTGGTGGCATTAGCGTTCGCTTGATGCATTAAATTGTTGAGTTTCTTTGTTAAGCATGAGCATTATGAGTTTTCTTTTCCTCTAACAGCCTTTGGAAATTGGAAATGACAATTCTGCATTTACTTTATTTATGTAAATACAAAAAGTTTGGTGTTAAACAAAAAACATTAAAGAGAGTGCATCTAAGGATGTACCTCTTGAGGAAGCTCAAATCAAGCCGTCATCTATAATGGAACATCAACACTCTGTTGACTTGGTTCTCGGGTCACGGTTAACTAAGGAACATGTTGGACCTGAACAACAAGTGAATGGATCTTTACCGGAAGGATTCATCGAAGACCATCTTGTAGAAAATGCTCAATTAGACCATTTTCTTATAAATACCATTTTCGCCTTTTCTCAATTTGACCATTTTCTTCCACATTTTCTTCCACATTTTCTCAAAGAATTTTTTTTTAAATCCTGTGAACCACACACCAAGCTTATAGTTACTGTTCCTTTGTACTATTATTGTTGTTGTTGTTGTTATTATTATTTATTATTTATATTATTATTTTTATTGGCTTAGATAACACATACAATGCAAGTATCATTAATAAAGGCCGAGGACATCATTGGGATCGCCGGAGCCAATGTTAGTTACGTTCATCGTACTAGTGGAGCGAATCTTACTGTGTCAGAGACGGAGGGCATTCCTGAAGAGATGACTGTCAAAATTAAAGGCACCTATTCAGAAGTTCTGAAGGCTCGACGTCTTATACAGGTTAGTGCTTTCAAATTTAGCAGCTCAACCTGCTGCCTGTGGTAGCAGTGAAATTGCTTTTGGCACTAGCATCACTTATTATTGTTATTGTTATTATACATTTCATTAGTATAAAAGGGATTGATTAACCTTGATCATTAGGATTATTATTTTGTAATTAGACATGTTTACACGTGCCAGCTGTCACCATTTGTGATCCTAATCTGTCAATTTCCAGCCCCAGGGATTTCCTCGATGCATCAGATAAGGGTCCTTTATCCTTTAAAGCAATTCCTGGAAGTAGTGGTTTTTATTGTTAACATAAAAGCTAATAGGAAATAGGGTACAGTTGAGCATTTGTTGGAGACAATTTTATAAAGATGTAGTTTAACTTTGTCTCTTCAATCCATTAATGAGGAACTTTTACAACTGATCAACTTTCGACGCCATAAAAGTAACTTCTGTACTCTCCATTCAACAGACCGTCCTTTGTGTTTCTAGTCTTCTAGTACCTTAATGTTTGTCTACTGTGCATATGTGAGGTGTTTTCTTCTCCACCATGCCCGTGGCTTATTTATTTATTTTACTTCTTCTCAATTTGCCGGGTCAAACAATGAGAGGAAACATTTCAAAATTATTCTTCTTTGGGTATCTATAAATGATTTAATTATTTCTTTTTCGTTTTCCTTTCAACTCTGGTTATTTTATTGTTAGTGCCTTAAATTTTGCGAGATTGATGAAACTGGTAATTATGTCAAGGAACAGTTAAGAATTCTAATTTAGACTCTTAGGAACTTGTGCAATTTCATCTCCATAGTATGGTTGCACGTTTTCAAGTATTTATATATATTCATTATATAAATCTATTACCATAATAATTCATAAATGTAATTAGATTGAAGTTCAAGTTCTGAATAGTGAATGTATATGAGTACCTTAACCAGACCCCACCAACCAACCAATCGAAAAACTAAAAAAATAAATAAATAACCACTTTTTGATTTGAATATTTGTTGCTTGCAGGAGTGTCTTAGTGCCGGAGCCAAATCCATGCGTCGAGGAGGAGTTTGACACCCGATCGAGTTCCTACTCACATTTGGCTGGCACCTCCCCGTCATTTTCATTTGCATCTGAGCCATTTGGTGCGTATGAACCTTGTAATTTTGGAGAACTAAATTATATTTTCCATTTTTGGACTCCCTGGAACTCCATTGTAGAATGATCTTGTGGTAGTCAAATGTTGTAAAGGAGAGAAACTAATTTTCATGAAGACCTTACTAACTCGCATACACAGACAGAACAAAGAAAAAAATTGTGTCTGTGCTCTGTTCTTGTGTATGTTTTCATTTTGAAGTTTTCTTGCTTGCATTTACTAAATTTTCTATCCAATGTGGGGGGAGATACCACTGAGGTTGAAATTTTGAATCTTGCCTATTGGTAAAGAAGTACTTATTTAGTCATTGGCATTGAAAGGGAAATTGTAAGACAGCGAATCACATTTTATGCAAGTTGATCATCATCACTGTGTTCATACTCATTTATGGAGACTTGATATTTAAGACTTCAGTTCATACTCATTTATGGAGTCTTGATATTTATTTAAGACTTTAGTTCACACAATTCCTATATTTAGAGATTTGGGATAGAGAATTAATTAAGAAAGAATCCTTTGCGAGTAAGGAAACAAATCAAGCTTTTTTAACTCTCTCTTCCGTCCACGTTCTCTCTTTCTCTCCCTTGATTAAGACCTTCAACCAATCCGTCTCTGGCAGGGATTAGCTCGTGTTCTTTTGCATGTTTCGTTTTTGAAGTTTTTGCTTGCGTTTATTAAATTTTCTACTTGAGTTTGAACTTGACTTATGCCAATACTGCACGTGATGATTGCCCATGCATTTTTGCGCTACTTCCATTATATTCTGTGCAGACTGTTCCCAGTGGAACTCATCTATATATAATTCATTCACACTACTGAGACAGAATCGCATGTTTTGTTCCTGTATTGAGAATTATAAATTATTTGTAATACATTTTTGTTTGTGCTGTCCCTGTTTCATGTCACTTGGGACGGCTGGTTGGTTGGTCTTTCCTAGTTGCGTGGCAACCGAAACCATATGATCCGGATCATGTAATAATTTTCATGAAAAAACTTGCATGTCTGGTTGTAGGGACGGACCTACATGCATGCTGGGGGTCAATTGCCGCCCCCTGATTTTTTTTTTTTTTTTTACTGAAATTCCTTGTATGTTTTCCTTTTTCCACTTTATGTACATAAAGTGTTGCTATTGCCTTCTCTGAAATTATTTAAAAAATTGGCTCTCTTATGCTTCTTCTAAATAGTGGATATCTTATGTTGACAAACAATTGACTAGGGGTGGCAAATGGGCGGGTCGGGTTGGGTTTGGGTTGGGTTAAAAATAGACTGGTGAACATGGGTGAAGACTCATATTCAACTCGTTCTGAACGGATTGAAAATGGACGGATTAAAAATGAGCAAGGTCAACCCGTTATTACCCGTAAACTCATTAATTATTATTATTTTTTATTTTTAAATTTTTTTTTATTAAATGTTAACCTGATTTAACATATATTATATGTTCAATTATTCATCATGTGTGTTTTAAGAAAATATAATTTAATTATTTAAAAAATAAAATAAAACTTAACTGTGAAAGTAATATACATTTATATTGAGGGGTACAAGTAAAACACAGATTGACGCGACGCATGAATCTTCAATCTAATATGTTTGGGTTATTAGTTTACAATTAATGCAAAGAACCTGTGTATGATACACTCTCTCAGGCATTCGGAGTACCGGAATCGTCCACTTGAGCTCCGACGCCTTCCGGAAGCTTCTGGACAGTGTTAGTCGTCTCGCTTTCATCGCAAGTTGAATCAACAGATATTGTATCGACATTAAGATCCAACACCTCTCTATACATACATATATGTGTAATTAATTTATGAGATTGTAGTTTCTACAGAGCATTAAATTTCAATACACAGAACGAAATCAGCCGGTGATAGTGATGAAGATGATAATGATGATGAGAGAGCGCGATCGGATCCGAAAATCGATTTCGATGAATAATCACAGATAAATTGAGTGATCTGAGATATGAGATGAAGCTCGTCTTCTTCACAGTAACAGTTTGCGAGCAGAGAGAATCAAAACTGATGTGTGAATAAGCAGCTCAGGTAGTTGCATTTCACAAGTAGAGAGAGAGAGAGAGAGAGAGAGAGAGAAAGAGAGAGTCATGGTGGTGACAATAACGGCCGTTTGTCAGGTTCCATGGGAAGACGAACAAATGTATAAAATGAAAGTAAATAAATGTTCATTTTTTAAAATAAAGTAAATAAAGTAAAAAAATATAATAATGAAAGTAAATAAAAGGAAGGTGGGATGGGCCACCTATGATAGTAATTTTTTTATTAAAAAAAATTAATTATTTTTTATTTTTAAATTATTTTTTTTGAAAGGTTTTAAATTTTTTTATTTTTAAAAGCATTTATTTATTTATTTATTTTTTTTAGAAGAAGTTTGTAAAGAAAAACTTAGAGAAAGAGGATTGATAAAGACAAATTTAGGGGGAGAGAGATTTAAAAAAAAAAAATTTTAGACAGAGAAATGAATTGAGTGCAATATAAAATAGACATGTGTTATGTGTTTATTATGTGACGGGTGAAATATGGGTTGAATATGGTTAATCATATCCAACTCATTTTGACTCCTAAATTAAGTGGTTAAAAATTACCCAACCTATTTTGACCCTTAAATTATATATGATTCACCCATAATCATTACAAGGCGGACGGATATGGACAGATTGAGCCACCCCTATAAATAACACATCCACTTTGGATCACAAGTGGGATTTTAAATAGATTAATATTTAAGACTTTAGTTCATACTCATTTTATCAAGTAAATCAACGTCAATTTGCAATCACGAAATCAATTCAAACTTTAATAATAGTAAATTCGATTCTCACCAGTTCTAGAACATGTCTGATTTTATTATTATTAATTTTTTCTTACCAATTGTAAGTCGTTATATAGCTATTTTTTATTTTATTTTATTTTTGGTAAATAAGTTGCATAAAAATAAAGATATACTGAATTTCTTTAGGTTTCGTTTGGTTAGATGGAATCAATTAGAAAAAAAAAAAAAAAAAAAAATTTTTTTTAAATTTTTTAAAAATTTGGATAGATGGAAAAAGAATCATAAAAAAAAATATAATTTCCGGCATTAGATTAGTTTCTCTCAAAACTTTTCTCACAAAACACAGAGAAATAATATTTTTTTTGTGAAAATTGCTTCTTTTTATTTAAAGTTCTTATTTTATCCAACAACTGAATCATGTAAAACAATTATTTTTTTTTTATTTTCTAACGGAATTTCTTTTCTACTAAGTTTAAGAGAGACAAGTTTTCTAACAATTTCTATTTTAGTGAACTTCTAGAAGGCAACTTCTCTACTATATATAGAGAGAATAATCTATATCTATCTATCTATCTATATATATATCTCTCTCTTTTTGTGTAATTTTTTTTAAAAAAATATTTTATTTTTTTATTTTTTATTTTAAAGCTTCCTTATTTCTCTTAAATGAATAGATAGTTCCATTCTACGATTCTACCTAAGAAGTCTTGAAGTATTGTTTTAATTTAAACAATATAAATAATTATATTATTAAAATTTAATAATTCATCATTTTATTAAAACTTTGATAAAAATAGACATCATCAAACACAAATTTATTTATTTTTTTAGTATTTAAATCATAAGAGTAATTTTGGTATGTACAATCACTTTCTTTTCATTTTCATGCTATCCAAACAAATTTTCATGCTATCCAAACAAATTTTCATACCAACCAAATGCTTGATAGAAAATAACTTTTCTTTTCATTCACTTCACTTTTCTTTCATTTTTCATTTTTTTTTTTCTTACTTATTTTTATCTAACCAAACAAAGCCAAGCATATGTCCTGGATGGATAAATCTTACAATATCCTTTCCATTTTTTTTTCCACCAAACAAAATGAGAGAAAAACTACTATTTTATGCCATTCAATTACTTTTTATTATTAAAATTTGGATGGATAAATCTTACAATATCCTTTCCATTTTTTTTTTCCACCAAACAAAATGAGAGAAAAACTACTATTTTATGCCATTCAATTACTTTTTATTATTAAAATTTAATTTTTAATGATCTACTTTGTTTGATCAAATGTCTATTTTATATACTTATATATAGGCATTGTATAAAATAAAAAATATAATATGAGTAAGCATATAAGATTTAGTGTGTAGCATCTACTAGAAAAGAAAAAAAAAAACATATAAGATTCTAACATAAATATGAATTTTTATTTTATTTTATTTTTTGATGTTTTTCTTTAATTAGAAGTATGGTGTGTTAAATGTAACAAAAAATATAAGTTGATATATTATTCAAGAAAGAAAGGAATATATATATAATCTTTTAGCTAAATTCACACAATTGGGCAAATCGCATAAAAACCCCTTGACTTGGTGGGGGTATTTTTGGCAATAAGTCAAAAATAACCCCACTCAGTTAGTTAAGGGGATTTTTTGGGGGAAAAATGATAATAATAATAATAAAAATAAAAAATAAACTTAAGGAGTATTTACTGCAAAACACTACAAGTCAAGGGAGTTAAATGCAGTTTATCCTATTATAAAGGTAATTCTTATGTAGAGTTGCCCAGATTTTGTCAGTTTCTTTCAAAATTTTATAACTAAGAGTTTAATAGTTAAATCAAATTGACTCCACCAAAAGAATTAATCAACTTTTAAGTTCACAAAAAACAAACCTGATAATTGTGTATGCAAACATTTTGTCAGAATTACTCTAATACCCACATTACAAACAACAAGAATAAGAAGTAGAATATATTGGTAGAGCTAGGCAAGCAAAAGAAAGTAAAAATGACCATCTATTTCATATACATATTTCATATACAAATGAAGTTTAAACATGTTGGATTGACAATCTCCATAAGAAAATAATCAAAATATTCAAATGTGTGTAAAAGTGTGTATTTACTCAAATGTATTGCATCAATAAATCTAGCAGAACCTTAGGTATAATCTTAGAGGAAAATAAAAGGATACACAGACAAGAGCAGCAACCTTGCCAGACATTACTGCGAATAAAAAAGAAAATCGAAAAAATGGCACCAACTTGCCGGAGAAATGCACGAACACATTAAATGAAGTGGATCTTTCAAAGTATGTACTGCAATCTGACTCTACATCTCAATCAGGAGCGAAGAACGAAAACTAAGTTATTAAGAAAAATCAAATCTCAGACCTTCAAAATATCTCTTGTGAGTTGTGACCGCTCTCCCTGATTTTGTGTACTTCAAATAAAGGAATCCCTATTAGCTGAAATGTATTATAACCAGGGATATGTATGTAAATTCACAGATCTTAAACCTGTTTAACTTTAATAATATCTTCACCAACAATTACCTTCTGGTATGATAATAATGTATCTTCTATGTAGCAATTCCTGAAGGAAGAGAGAGAATAAAAAAGAATTAGTATTAGGAAATAGCATTTGAGAAGGAAAGAGCTCAAAAAATGGTCCATTTATTAGGTGAGTAGATTAAACCAAACTCACTTAAATGAAAAATTGTTTATAAGATTTAATGGGGAAATCTTATTTTGATTCAAAGATAAAATAAATAACTCACTCAAAAAATTATTACAGAGAGAACTTGAATGAACTTCAGGACTAAATGAAACTAAATTTGAGTTTATGATTAGCTCATTATTTATGTTTGGATTCCAAGAAGGCGTTTAAAATTTAATAAGAGCTACTCGTTAACTAATACTTCAAAATGCTTCAAAATATTAAAGGATTTGTAGCAGAGCATTTTCAATTTTAAGCATTAATATTATCAATAATAGCACTATTTTTGGTTTTAGTATGAGGCACGTATTGCAGGACTAAGATGAGCCTAAAGAGGAGAGAACAAGCCACAAGATTGTTTACACTTCGATGCAAAAGTATCACAGAATTTGAACCACAGAAGCATGTTACTTAAGCCTCAAATGAGGTAAGTCTCAAGGTACAATCCTTGGTTTCTAAACTAATTTCAAACGATTACTTGCAGTTTAGATTGATAATCATGTAGCGCATGCACACGTCAGGGATCCCGAAGTCACTTGTAGTATTAGCTAGTGAAAGCCTGTTTCCTAATGAGAAATTTAACCTATTCCATGAGTAAACCACCCTAGAAGCAACAAATCTTAAAGCCAAATAAGTTCTTTGGCTTTGCAAGTTTAACCCAAAACTGATGTTTATGATGCTTATCTCTACTTCTTGGCTCAAGGACCTGAATGTAAAGTTCCCAAATGATCAAGAACATCTGATGGAGATACAAGAAGGGTTACCTCTATTTCCATATATTTTTAATTTGTTGGTCTGGAAGCATCACCTTATTTGATTGCCTTGCCTTTAACACTATAGCTTCGTCCGTTTTCCAATGTTCAACCTAAACATTTTTAGGTTCCACAAGAAGTTCCTTCCGAGTTAATTAAGTTAAATCTATAATGCTTATGACATTTTGATAGGATTTTGCCGATAAACTAATGATGCTGAGACAAGAACACATCCGTACAGGTGTAGCCTAGTTGGTCTAAGGTTTTGGAATTAACCCATATGTCCTATATCCAACTCTTTAAATGGATTAGCCTTTGTTTATGGGGTTTGCTGACCACCTCCTGTATCCAGTGATTTGTTTCACCTCCACAGGGCGAGGATAGCCCCCGTGATAATTAAAAGAATGAAAAGATAATCCAGAACATTTGAATGAAGCTAACAAACAATGGTACCTTCATTTGATAGTCTATTTGCAATACTGTAACCTCCAACATAACCCTCGGAACCTTTGGCTGAGACATCTGCTGCATTGCTGAGTCCATAACCAAATAAACCATGACCTTCCAGCTCAGAAGATGTAGACCACCAAGTTGAATCACCATACACAGAACCACCACGGTACAAGTCCCCATAGGATCCTCCACCACTTGATGCAGATAACGATGATGTTGGGGATACACCTATGCCACCGATTCTTCCAAATCCACCTTCTCCTAGCCCAAAGCCGTTTTCTCCACCCCCATACCGAACAGTTCCACTTGTTAGGCTAAAAGCAGTTCTGCCAGCTTGAGCAGAAATAGGAGGAGAACCCCAATTCTCTTTACTATTTCCAGAAATCCCAAAACTCCCACTTACAGAGCCCATGCGAGAGCCAGGGCTAGAAACATTTGTACCACCGTGAAGGCCAATATTTCCCCACACATTCTGGGAGGAGCTTAAAAGAGAGTTGAATCGGCCACTACTCCTGCCATATCCAATAGGAGCACTATATCTGTTTGAATTGCCACCATAATGACTGAAATCCCGCCCATATCCAAGGTTATTACTAAATTTGGAGCTCCCCCCAAAGCTCTGGCTCAACCCTGGGTCCAAATTTACACCCATCCCATAACCAGAACCAAACGAAGAGAAACCAAAATGACCACTAGCAACTAGATTAAATTTACCATCCATCCCGACTCCAAAGCCTCCAGCCGAGCTGAGATTATATCCCTGAGCATAATTGTTGCGCAAGCTCTTAGCCTTACTGAAACCATAGTTATATCCAACCAAAGGGCTGCGGCTGGGGCCGGGAGATAGCTCTTTAGGAACTGCCCACTTGACCTCAACCGTTTTACCATTGAGTTCATGGAAGGTATTATGCAACACCCTATCTACTGCTTCCTCCGAATCATATGTGATGAATCCAAAACCTCTTGGCCTCTGGGTGTTGTGATCATACATCACCACAACGTCGGTAACTGTGCCAAACTGGTCAAAGTACTTCTTAAAGTCGCCCTCAGTGACTGTAGATGCTAAACCTCCTACAAAAATCTTCTTTATTTTGTGTCCAGGACCAGGAGATCCTTGAATGCTATGATTGTTTCTATCTAACATGTGTTGATCATCCCTTGGAACAGCCTTCTTTGCTTCAACCTGAAAATGAAAACCCAGAAAATGAATACCAACCAGTTTATAAATAGCCATTGCATATAAACAAAAAAAAAAAAAAAAATTCAAGTCTTTCATTACTCTACAAGGTCAGAGACACAGAGCAACAAAGAAGATTCTCATTTTCATATTAGCAGCAAAAAAGTTTAATAAAATAAAAGAGTAGATGATTTAATCTTCATCTCATTACAGAAATAAATTTAGAGTCAATAAGAAAGAAAATACACAATGACAAGTATGAATGGGGCATTTTAGGTTCCTCACTGCTGAAATTAGATGATAATACCAACCAAATAATTATTGCAATTGAATTACTTACTGTTCTTCCGTCAATCATGTGCTTCACCATAGCCACTCTCTCAGCAACACCAGGATCAGCAAAGACAATGAAACCAAAGCCACGGGCACGACCCTTCACGCGATCTCTCATGATCACTGCCTCCACCACTTCCCCATATGCACTAAAATATTCTCTAAGGCTATTTTCATCCGTTTCCCATGAAATCCCACCAATGAAGAGCTTACTGAGATCTGGTTCCATCTCTTTTACTACCCCACCATGAATTGGTACACTAGTCAATATTCTCAACATTGCAATTAAACAACTTAAAGTAGCAGATATCAAAATTCACTCCTAATTTAACCCAAAGAAGAAGTTATTTTTTTTTTGGTATCATTTACTTGGCATCTGAAATGCATTCGATACAGGCAAGAATTATTGCATTAGACCCACAATATGAGTAAACAAAATTGATGGTTGTACAACACTTACAAAAACAAAAATAGCATAGCATCAAAAGCCAATTCAACAGATCCAAAAATGGATTAAAAACCCAATGAAGAAAGCAAAAAAGGTACCTTGTCCAGAGAATTAGGCAGAACTCAGTAAGGACTCCAATCAAACACAAGGTGGGTATAGTTGAATTATATCCAGGATATCAAAATTTTCTATCATCAATCAATTGTCAATCCAATATTTCTGAGAATCCAAAAATCATGTGGATTAGAACCCAATACAGGAAATTGATAAAGATCAGGAAACAGAAGAAGATTCAAGCATAAAAATAAAAACTTACCATTTTTTTTTATTAAGAAAATTAGGATCTAACAAGAGGTGCCCATTCTCTCTCCAAAGGTTCCTCCCTTCCGTCACTTTATCGGTTATTCCACTCCTTTTAAGGGAGGGGTAAGAAACAATGCATATGAGACGGAGGGGGAGAGAGAGTTGGGCAATCCTTTTAATTATACTTGGAGGAGCAAAGAAAGATGACAGAAAAGAGATGATTAAAAAATATGGATTTGAATTAAAAGTGAGTATACATGTGTTATATATATATTAAATATTAATTTTAATTCTCATATTATTATTGTTAGACCACTCCTATTTAGGCCTATTTGTGGGGAGATTTTTTTATCCACACGGTGAATTAGTTCGAGCTTGGTCATATGCACTATATTAAAGTGACAAAAATTCTAGGACGATGCAAATAGATTTAAGAAATCCTCTTTACAATCATTTTTCTTCGTATTATTATTTACTATTATGTAATAAAACACCATCCCATTCCAAAAGTTAAGCGTCTTGCACAATTACATAGTGTTGTGGAGAGGATGTAGGGTGCATTGGACATACCACGTTATTCGTATGTCCATTCAATTAAAATATCTATTTAAATGAGTTGGTCTCGCAAACTTACAAAAATAGCTTCCAATCAACTTGAATGGTGCATTTTAATTGAGTGAGTATACCAATAACTTTTAGTATGCCAGATACACCTTAGATCTACATATTCCTTACGTATTCCTTTTTATTTATTCTTTTATTTATTTATTTTTTTCTCTTTATCTTTATGTTTCCTCTCGATAATGCTGATCCTCATTCCATAGATTATCATGGCTTTCGTTTGGTACACGAGAATTGAATAGAATGGAATGATGATTCTCATCCTACTATTTAGTTACAAATATGTCGTAGGAATAGAATGATTATCACCATTCCAGTGTTTAAGTGATCAATTTAAAACTTAAAATCGAATGAATTTTAAAATGAATTCTCTAGTCGTACGACTACTAAAATAAATTTTTTCATGGTGAAAACGGCATTGGCGGTGGAGAAAGACGACAATGGCGATAGTGGTGAGGATGATGGTGTGGTGGTGGCAACAATAGTGGTGTAGGTGGTGGTGGCAATGAAGTTTTTTTGGGCACATGCTTTTTTTTTTTTTTTTTTTTTTTTTTTATAAAAAAAATTAGTATTTTTTGAGTGAAATGATGTTGAATAAATTTTAATTCTTTTCCATTCTAAATTATTCCCCCATATTTTTTTCTTCTAAACAAAAATATGGGTGGAATGAACATTTCCCTTATTCCATTCTTACATGCTAAATGCAGCATTATATTACACTATTAATATTATATGCCTTTTCTTTTCATTCCTTTTAGTTGAGAACACATTTCCCACCTAACCATTTTGGTGTTTTTTTCCCCTCTCCTTGCGCTCCCTCCCTGTCTCTCTCTCTAAATTAACATTAACTCTCAATTCATAAGATATTAAAATTAAATTGAAAATTTTAACTTAATAACAAATTAATATTAGATTAATTAAATTGAAACTAATATTTAACTCAATATTAAATTAATATTTAACTTATCCAATTTAATATTAAATTATTTTTATTTTTGTTTTGACATAAGTACTTATTTTAATACCCTCACACATCCCTCTTAAACCTACATTCAATACATTTAATAATAGAAAATTTCCAATTTATAAGAGTGAAGATTATAACATATAAACAGAGCTTTTGCTCTGCCCAACTTATCCTCAAGGTTATAATATTTATACCAGAGTATGCGATCCTCCAACACATATTATTACTGATTGTTAGGTTATTAATGTTTTTCTATTTTCACTTAAATTTTATATAGTATATGATATATTTTTATTTTTTTGGGGAGCTTATTTCTGTTCCTTATTGAATTTTCAAGCAATGAGGTATTCGCAAGGTTATAAAATTTAAAATTTATACCAGAGTTGAAGGTTAAATAATAGTATAGACGAGTCGAAAATTTAGGTCTAAGAGAGAACTAATAAATAATTACGGAAATAAAAACATCAAGGTAGGATATTTAGTATATATATATATACACAAACACATAATAAAACCGTTTAATTCAGAATTCTGGAATCTTAAATCGTAACGAAACTATAATTTTACGATTTTACTGTTTTAGAACCTTGACCAAACCAAATCATAAGAAAATAATATTGAATTATCCGATTTGATTTTTTTTTGTAACATTTATCAAGGACCCGTTTACTAACGCTTTCACTTTTTTATTTTTACTTTCTCTAAAAGTAAAATCATGCTTTTGATTTCTTGAACTAAAATAAAAAGTAAAATATTGTTCAATAATTTCTTTTACTTTCAATATTTTGAAAGCAAAAAATAGAAAGTAAGTTTAATAACTTTAATTTTAATTTTAATTTATTTTATTATTATTATTATTTTTTTCAGAAAGTAAAGTGTGAACACGAGATATATATATATATATATATATATATATATATATATTGGGAGAAAGAGATTTGGGTTTGCGCTTGTTGACAAGAGGCTTCTTGACATAGTCGGCGGGGTAGAACTTCGGCGGCTTCTCGGTGGGCTTAGCCTCAACGGACTTCTTGTCGTGGCGAGGGAAAGTGCCGCCGTTTTTGGCCTTGATGGCCCAGAGACCTCTCTTGTGGTACATCTGGGAGCGAGAGTACTTGTCGATGCCCCGAATCAAATCTGGGTTTCGGCTCACCTTCGGAGTCTTTTGCTTCGTCGGCGCCATTGATGCTCTCACCCCTTTCTCTCTCTAGAAATGGTAGTAGTATCGAAATTATTTTAATTTTAAATTTGTTTCCTAATCTTGTGTGTAAGAGATGGGTCACAAATGATTACAAACATATATATATATATGTATGTATACAACCTTTGTATATAGGTGTGATTCTAGTTGAATTCACATCTGTATCTCTTTCTTCCGATGCTGGAATCGTGGACCTTAGCCTCGTCAAAGAAATTGAAGATTCCACTGTGGGTGTTACAGAAGTGGTTTGCCTTGATCTGGGTTCGATTATGGTGATTAGTAATAGAGACGCAAAGGCTTAAATTTGATGGGTAGAAGAGTTTGGGCAGATGGAGTTATGGTGGATTCAGGGATAATATATGGTTGGAAGAGAGTGTAGTGAAGATAAGAGTGGCGAGCATAGAGAGAAGAGAAAAGATGTTATAAACAGACGGCAAATCACGCACAACTTATTTGGAATGAACAGGGGCCCGTGTGGTAACAGTGCAGGAATCAATTTCAAGCTACAGTGTAAAAAGTATAGAAAGTATCAAAAAGTCACTTTTCACTTTCTTCATTAAAATTGATTTCACTATCTCTTTTTAGAAATCAGAATCAATTTTTTAAACATAATTTTACTTTTATTTCTACTTTTTCAGAATTGATAATAAAAACCAGAAATTACTTTCTGTTAGTAAGCAGGCCCCAAGTGAATGACACTGTCTACCCAATCAAGCTATACCATTTTAATTAGTTGACAAAGTTTTGAGAAATTGTTTTGTGAGTCGATACTAGTGGTCACTCTCAATCACTAGCTAACAGGAAATAAAAAGTTATATAAAACTGATACAAAGTTAACATATTTGTTGTACTAGTTAGTGAATAGTGATTGGTCCGATAGAAAAATTATGTAAGAGCATCATCTTTAACAGTTATGTATATATATATTTTTTATATAAATATGACGTGTCATAATAAATTGACACAAAAAATTTAGATTAATTCTTTTTAATTTCAGCAATTGTTTTATATATTTTGGGTAAAAATATATTCCCTAATAACAAACTAACCAATGTCATGCTTGAATCCCACATAATTTTTACAAAATTACTAATTGATTTGTTAATGGAATGAAAAAGAGGGAGGAGAAAGAAAATATGCTGATGCAGGTGTGTAAAAAGATGATGTATCTTAACAGATTACTAGAGATAAAAAAAAATTTACACATCATACATGACAGTATATATTTTACACAAAAAAAAAAATTTAAACAGAATACTGAATATGCTCTAATAATATCTCAAAAGTTTTTATTTTTTTCTACTACAACCATTTTTATTAGATAGTCTGTAGTATAGTTTAATTAAGTGGGTGGAAATACCAACAATAGTCACTACTCACTCATTATCTTCTTCGGATGAGACCAAAAGTATGATGGTATTGTCATTTCTTGCAAGTGAAAATTTAAATCATGCTCAGATCTCCATCGGATGGCTTCCAGTGTGCACACATATGATCGGTAACATGTGTGCGTGTGTCGTACCGGATCATAAACTATTATTCCCTCCATTTTTTTGGAAATGCTGTATATCGTCCCACTCTAGTCTGTTAGACGTCACTCTGTAACCATGTCCGACTTTATCAGAGGAGAAAGCGTTGGCTTGCTCCGAAACAGAAATAAGAGAGACAGAGAAAACCCTAACCCTAATGTGCGAATCCCCCGAGGAAACTCCCTGTGCTAGGGTTTCTCACGTCTTGTTAGTGTCGGCGACCCTGGTCTTCTTCTACATCAGCTATCAGAAATCGAAGCAGTACCACCATTCAACTTGGCTACACCTCGTTGACCGTCTCTGGATCGCCGTTCCTTTTATCGTCATTCACACCACGACGGCTCTGTATCTAGCCCTGGTGGTGGCCGTCGTCCTTCCATCCGTTTGAGAGTGTGCATTAAGGCGAGGGCCAAGTTTTACATTTATAAAGCCACTACTACCTTTACTAAAAATATTGTTAGGGCAAGTAGGGATCGTCCCAAGGGATTATGGGGATTGAGCAATGTCAGAGTTGATTGTGGAATCGCTATTAGGGCTAGTAGGTCGAGTGATTAAACAATTGGTTGGTTGGTTGATTAAAGAGCAACTAAATTAAACTAAGTAATAGCAAAAAAGTGCAATTAAGAGTAAGTAAGAGAGAAAAGAGTCTTGGGGTTTAGAGATCACTACCAAGCAATGCATTTCTATATTATTGACAAATAAATAATGAGGGCAATTAGGGTGTTGCAATGTTGGTGTGTGTGTGTATTTGGTTGATTCAACAAGCAAGGATGACTAGTTAAGCATGTATTGTCTAAACATCATGTGAAAGGCACAATATATCTAAGCTATGAAGCATATATTGTCTAAACAACATGTGAAAGGCACAATAAATCAAAACAAGTTATTAATCTATTCATTAAACTCACAATCC